GGCGGGGGGGGGGGGGGGTTTTGTGGCCGCTCCGCCACCGCACGCGATTGGCTCTCGTCGCTGGGATTTGCCTTTTTCCGATGTCGCGGACATCGGACATGTCTGAAGAGTGTGTGGGATTCACCGTGGTTGTGAGGGCCTTGTGGAGGGGGCGATAATGGAGTGCTGACGGAAGGGCTGCAAACCTGAAAGTCTAACTCCCACCACGATGCCCACCAAGTGCCTTTTGTCTTTGGGGAGCAGGGTCGCGACAATGGGCGCGCAGTCCGTCCATGCTGAGCGGGTAAGTTTCGTGCTCACGGCAAAGACGAATATGCTGCACATTGACCAAATCCATAGGGCTACACCCCCTCTTCCTCTTCGTCCTTGACGCATAGCTGCCCAAACGACCACGAGCCAGGCTCTCTGCTCCCGCAATCACGAAAATCCTGGCTTCTTTGGCCATCTGCTTGTCTCTCGGTCTTCGGAGCATGGATAGCTACTCGGGACAATTGTCGAAACTGAGATGCTATAATGGAGAATTGCCGTCGTGTATGGCTGTGACAATTGGGGTCGCATGCTCAGCCATCATTCATTATCATCTTCAACATCATCAATACAGCGGCTGCGAATTTTCCACACTCAAGCGCCAAGAAGAAGCAAAGAAAGATAAGTTTCACGACCCAACAATACGGGTTCCACACCGACGAAAGTCGCCAGAACGCCTCAACTCGGGCCCCGTCCGTCAAACGTCTTGTGGATGGTTCTAGGACCAATCCAAGCAGTCCTGCCCAATACAGAGTAACGTACGTACCATGCACGTTCTTGGTATCCAGGGTTCTAGGCTCGCCGACATCCTCCCCGGTTCCCTGTCATGATGGCCACTTCACCGACAGCCGATTCAAGATCGCAGCGTCGTCTGAGTATCGTTTACCGCCCATGTACGGAGCAGTATGCGGTGGTATGTACATGCATGTGCATGGGGGTTGCAGCAGGGGGCTCAATATTCTGTTGCTGGCGACTTACCGACGGAGTACGTAGGTACTAGCCCGTTGCTACGAGGCATACGCAGGCATACCAGACACAACAACATGCGGACTTTGTGCAGAATGGCATACGGACTACTCCGTAGCACGGGGCAAATTGGTGGGCCGCGGTTACTTGCCCCCCCGGCGCCGGGCGCCTTGATCGCCTATTGGTGTCTGGATTCGGTATTTTGGCCGCATGAACTAGTCAATCTATGTACATTGGAAGCGATACTTGCACCCTTTTCTCCGGTTTGACACTTCAGCTTGCAGCTAATCTTTGCTTTCTTCTTTCTAGACGTGGCCCACACGCGACTGGCCAAAGCTTCTCAGGCTCGACTCGACCTTGGTGCGCTCGCAAGCTAGACTGAATCTTAAGCAAAGGCAATACACTAGGGATGGAGGTCAAACCTGAAATTCAAACTTTTTAGTTCCGAAGTTATAACAAGCTTTTGTCCGCTAGTACTCTACTCATATGGTCGAGTCTAGATACAGCTGGGCTATTGAAGTTTGTCGTCAGGCGGTTTCTTGTGTATGCAGCTTGGTGAGCGGCCGGGCACTTAGACGTCATGAGGACAAGGTGGCTCGTATCCTGAGCTTCCACGTAGAAGTGAAGGTTCGCGTATCCAGCTAGCGCCGCCACAGCAAGGTATCCCTCATGCACCACGATATCAACATCATATTTCTTCTGTTCTTTTCTCTTCTTTCCACTTTCCCTCCTTGATTTTTCCTCTTTCAGTCAGGAAGAGCCATAGCCGTGGAAGCCTATAACTTTCACGTCAGCTACCTGTACCCCTATCGTAGTACTTGCGACGGGCAAGTCGACCGGAATCAATCGTAGCCGCACCAATCGGGTTTGCAGCGGCACAGAGTGGATCATGGTGGCATTTATTCACGGCGGAGGATGTCTGTTTAAATTCTCCGCATCGTGGACGGGGTTACTTCGTACGGAGCGTCTTAACAGGAGAACCAACCTATTGTCGTCACGCGCAGAGTCTTCCTTCCGTGATGGCCGAGACGGTGCCAAATTCGTTTGCCCCGCGAAATGTTGGAGCGTGCGCGGGAATTCTGCTGCGTGGTTACGGCCTAATAGCAGTTGAGTTGGCTAGCCGGGCAATTCGCCTCCAGTGGCTGGACTAAGTAGCTACCCGGCGTCCCGATGATCCAGCCAGTGAATCTCAATGGATAAATTACCGATTCAGCAGCACAGTGGCTGACGGTGGAGGAGCTTTTTCGCGAGTGGTTGACATGTTGACAGGTGCCGACAGGTGCCGCCGATTGAGGATACAATACAATAGGGAGAGGGGGAGGAAGAAGACATCGTATCGAAAAAGAAGAGAACCCTGGACCAATAGTTTTTGGCCGCGTGGACTGATGGGTAGATGCTTCCAAAAGCGCCGTGCCTTCCCTGCCTCAGCTGCCTACTTAGGTAGGCAGGAACTCTGGCTAAGGCTCCTTGGCTCGTCAGCTTGGCGGGTCGCAGTCGTCATTTTCGCGGGAACTCATCATGGGGGACTTTGCTGGAACGTACTGCTAGACTCTAGTAGCTAGCGGCGGGTTAGTAGTAATTTCCATCATGATTACGCCGGTTGATCCAAACAAAAGTCTAAACGGGAGGGCGGCCAATCGCCATTCTCGATTCTCGCATCCGCCCCGGTCGGAGCCAAACTCCATCACCTACCTCTCCATCGTGAACAAAACATGCTTTTTGAGGCTCGATCTGCAAAGGTGTCTCGTTCGTTTTCCTTTCTTCCGCCTTTTCGTTCTTTCCTTTTACCCCGACCCCGCCGACGAACGGGCTGTCTGTGTCTGCTCTTACCGAGTCATCGCCCGCTGTCATGCACAGCACAGCAGCACAGCACAGCACAGCACAGCACTGCACTGCACTGCACTGCACGGCAGCCCGCAGTCGCCGGCCAAGCTATCAGATGTCTCCAGCCACTCGTGGTACCAGTCTTGGATAACATGCGACTGAATAGTGGCATTTGGGTTCAACTGGACCCCGGGTCAGCCAGAACCGAACCGTCCACATGGGTCAGGAACACCTGTGTCTCCCGCCAACATACTACCTACTCCTTCGGGTTCCCTGCCGAGTCACCGAGTCGACTATGTTTTATGTTTCGGAGTTGCGCCTCGCTTCTCCAGTTCTACGTGACCTTCCATCCCACCGCCGGTGGTTGTCCGAGCCAAGTTGACCTGTGTTACGCGCGCCGCCGTGCGAGCCCCGACCGTCTCACCCCACATGCACAGGATGACGTTTTCCCTTCCGGCTTCCGTTCAAGCCGTATGAGTAATCGTGCCCGCCCCACTTTATGTGGTTCGGCTAGCAAAAGCCCTCACCACACCTTTGGTGGTGAGGGCTTTTGCTAGCCGAACCACATAAAGTGGGGCGGGCACGATTAGTACATACAGAGTCCACACAGAGTATGAGTTAACATGCGACGAAAAGAAAGCTTCTGAGCTCCCCGAGCCCCCTTACGGCCGAGACCGGCCCCCCTTCCGAGGCGCACTTCAGTGCCGTTGGCCTCTTTGACTGGTCGACTTGCCCTTCAGCCTCCTCTGTTTAAACACCACTGGTGCAAAGGCAAATACGTTTAGACAAAGAGCCGGGCGCCCAGGACACACCGGGCTTGCATTAAACTTTACCGTTTGGCACGCCTCAGCCCGGTCTTCTTTTTCTGGGGTGTATTCGTGAGCCACATATTGTCAAGCCATGCTGCGCCTATTGTCCGTCCGCCTGCTTCGCCACACGTCCCCGCCCCAGGTAGTCCATGCAAAGCAGACAAATTATGCTCGTACTAAATGCAAACTAACTCTGTGATGATGAAGCTGGCTACTCCGTAACGAGATCGACATCTGGAAGTCGATACTCCACTCGATGCAAATCAAGCTTCGGCCTAGTGCACCACACAAAAAAGTGCCCAAACGCTCATGACATTGAGTGCTGCTTTGGACCGTCTCACGGCATGGCACACTTGGGCCATTGTGTTCTGATTTGCGGCGACATATGCTCTTCAGCCTCTCCATGTAGGCAGTGTATATTGTCCGTCTTGTCTTCTTCCTCCACGTCCAGCCCCACCGCCATCAAGCAATGAACGCCCTCCAGCCATTGATCACCTCATAGGATACATCTACATCGCACGTGTCAACCGTGATGCGATGCCCTTTTTGACTTTCCTCAGCCTCAACCAACGTATTAGCGCGACACGCGTTTCCCGATGTTCCAGCCCCAAGACCTCAGAACCTTGACCACCTTTGGCGTCACCGCGGCCGTCAGCGGCACTCTAAGGAATATGAAGCTTTTGTGAATAGCGTACGCAAGTGCCAGTTGAGTGCCCAAACCTGAAGAATCACACCGTCGAGTCAGCCGCTATAGATCACCACTCTTTGAGTTGCGCCAAGATCCACGCCGCGATTGTGGGATACGACCAAGGTATACTTACTAGCTTCTTCCTTATTTCGCTCCTGAGCTTCCTCGACACCCCAGCCAGCCATCTCCACCCTGTCGCTAATGTTGCCATTCCCCATCGTCTCTACCTCCTTGCTCTTGATCGACCGCCAGTACTCGTGCCACTTTTGACGAACCGACTCTGGAATGAATTGCTTGACCGCCCCAACCACGTAGTGTTCGAGTTTCCCTAGTATGTATCAGCTTCAAACTCTTCTTCTTATTTTTTCCCATTCCGCCCAGCGCAGCATATCAAACATACCAATTGTTTCTGTTCCCACAACCCGGACGAGCAGGAAGCAGAAGGGGAAATCCAGCACGCTGAGGGCCAAGTAAACACCCACTGCTGACCAGCCGTATTCCTTGGACAATCTCTTCAGTCGCTGGCTCAGCGTCAGCTTTTCCTGCGTGCCGCCATGCGTCGTGCTGCGGCGCCATGGCGAGAAGCGGAAGCCGCGATGCTGTGTTCTCGCCAACGTCCCACCCGGCCGACTTGCAGGCTGGCGCATCATGGTCCGCAGAACGTGAAGGTCGGCACGTCGCGGATGTCGTATGCTTCTGCGGAGGGGCTGTGCCGCGTCGGAAAGGAGCATCCTTCGCCATGCACCCGTCCATGCTGCCAAAGGGAGCGAATCGCGTAGACCGATGGCTCGGAGCATCTTCCTGCAGGCTGGTGGTGCTTGGAGGAGCTGCTGCAGAGCGCCCCTCGTGCTGTGTAGTCTGCAAATCTGAGCAACCTTGTTGCGGTGCTTTTTCCGGACGTCTTCAGTCTGATGACCTTGCTCCTTGAGAGGCTGGCCGTCGCCAAGCAATGTCGAATGCCGGCTCGATCGAACGGACGCGGAATGGAGTCGATGGAGTGACGTACTGCTGACTCCCCGGTCGTGGATTGGCTCTGCACACTCGCGGCCGAAAGCCTCGCTGGACGGACGGCGGGCCAACTGGTCTCGCTGTTATGCGGCCGTGCAGGCACTACAGTCTTTGTTGCGGTCGGAAGGGAAAGTGATACTGTCTCGGCAGCGAAAATTTCTCCCCTGGGCCTTGTAGGTACTCGAAGCAAGGGTCGTGATGTCGATGGCTACAGGGGTTGCGTTGTGAAGCTCGTGTGGGGACACGGGTCACGTGAGCATATCTCGGGCATTTAAGCACAGAAACAAGTGAAAGCATTCTTCTTTGTGATTCTATAATAGCCACGGGAGAACATCAAGAGGGTAAAAGGGGCGCGGGTCGTCTCCATTTTGAGTGGTTGGGGGGCTCCGATGTTGTTTGTGTTCAAGGTCGAGAGCAAAATGCTCGTCGAGGAGCCGTGATCAATGTAACGTCGATGCCGAAGGTGACGACTGACGAACTCGCAGAGCAGAATGCCGGAGCGGTGGTGCGATGACTATATCAAGTCCCGAGTTTTTCTTTTTCCAGAGAACTCGGTAGCCCTTTCAGCTCGAACGAGTTTCGAACGCACGGCAATCCGTGGCGCATGCTCGTACTCGATCGCGAAACCCAAACACCAATGTCAAACGGTTTCACTTTCCTATCGCTGGCGAGCCAGACGGAGTTCTTGCCATTTGCAACACGTCCTTGCAGGACTTTTTCGTGGACGATGCGATGTTCGATATCGCTAGTTGCATAGCAGCACGTTGCATCCTTCTAAGCGTCTTGCCAACTGACAGCCAAATTCGCAACCACCATAGCACACCTGGCTGTCAGTTGGCAAAACGCCATCGTCAGCTGTTCGAAACTGAGTATCCGAAATCGCTCCCTGCCACGTGTTGCGCCTCCAGGGCGGTGAAAGAATCGCGCCAGTCCGTGGTAAACGGTATTCCAACTTGGTTCGAACAAGAACTCTTCTTTCATCGTCCACAGGCATTTCATCCCACGTACAAGGCATTTCCATCTCATTGCCTACCAGATATATTTTAAGCCGTATCGTGCTTCTGTGATATGAACTTACATCGTTCCTTCCTCTCATTTTTCCTTTGGCAACACCCGTGACACAACTGGGAGGTGATGGAATGGCCCGGACAAGCCGCCTTTTCGAAGCCCTCTTTCTGTGATTCACAACTAAAGGCGGCGGTTTGCCCATCAGCACTCTGAATAGCAGGCAATTTTGCCGCTTGTCCACTCGTTTCTGCGTTTCTTTGAGCCGATTGATATTTTTTACTTGCTCTCTGTCGTTTCGCTTTGTCTTGTTTCGGGAGTCGCAGAGCCGTGTCTGCCATGGCATCTACACAGGTTGCGTGTGGAAGGAAGAGAAGTTTGCTGCGAACTCTTGGGTCTCGTCGTAGACACAAAGATCTTGCAGTTTCTATGCCAGCCCCGGATTTCGGTAGGATTCACCTGACCAACAGCCTATCATACGCTCGCTAATCAGAACAGATGGAATCACGACGCCGACGAAGACAATTCGCGATGTCGAGGCTGCCGTCATTCCCAAAGCATCACCACATCGACATTTGAAGCGATCTGATAAGAGTGACAAAGGTTCAGTCAATGGCCACGGTAAATTTCGTGATGACGTGACAGCAAGCCAGAAGATTCGATCCGGGATCGTGAACATGGCACCTATAAGACCACAGGTGCCTAGTCGAAACTGTGTCGGAGGAGATAGAAGCCCGCTGTTGTCGCCATTTGAGATGCATCCCGTCATAATTTCAACTTCCCAGTCTCCAGAGAAAAGCTCAGTGGCATCAGTTCCTAAGAGAAGCTCACTCGAGGCTCCCTCTTTCAGCCACAGTGCTGGACATAACCGCCGGTACACTACAAACTCTGCCCCGCTGGACAAGACTGCGGAGCTCCTGAAACTGCTGGATACCTCGGCTGCGAGCATAGAAGAGAGCCTTACAGTGAAGGGCGAGCTTGACCCTCGTGCACAGGCGAGACCGAGACTTGGGATGCAGGAGGAACTCGATGAACAGAGTTCTTCGTCTTTACAAGCCCTTGGTGGATGTGTACACAAGGCGAGCGCGGAAGAGATTAACAGCAAACTTCGGGAGATGCTAGCCGCAACAGATGCTCTCAAACCTGCTACACCGCAAAAAGCTCAAGGTTCGCGAAAGCTATATCGTACAGCAAGCGCCAGAGTCTTTTCCAGAATGTCAGATGCTATTGGACGCATGTATAATAAGTCAGCCAGCCCTGAGGTCCGACCTAGAGACGAAGAAGGCACGATTCGACTGGAGGAGACTGATAAACCTATCAGACGGTCGTCAAGTCACGCAAATGCAAGCCAGCACTCCATTAGATCGATTGAAATTAGGTTAAATGAGGGCTCGAACCTTGATAGGAGAAAAGTTCAACAACTTATTGGGAGCCAAGTGTTTCGAAAGCCTGTCACTTTGGACAGGAAGCCTGCCTTGTGCCGCCAGTTGGATGACCAGACCGACATGCCAGGGTCGATGATGCCTGTGGGAAGGCATGGAAGCAGGTCGAGGTCCATTTCGCCTTCCACGAATCCCTTCGAAGCCGAAGAGGATTTCGAAAATGATCTTGAAAGCGGCATATTGCAGGCCTCCCCAGGGGGCTGCTCTACGCCACGAATCTGCATCAACCGAGGCTCGGGCTCTAGCTATGGCGATGATTATGATGGTGACTTGAGCGGATCGAGCATTGGGCAAGTTAATTTGGCCAGGATAGTTGTCAAAGTTGGCAAAAACGATGTCGGAAGCCCGCAGGTACGACAGGTCCATCTCCAGTCTTCAGCAGATGTAAAGGACTTGTCGCCGAAACCTTGGCAACGATCCAAACGTTGCCGAGATGTGCAGCATGACGACTTTGGAATTGCGAAAAAACACCCGTCTCCGAGCAAGAGGGATCTTGAAGAGCTGGAATTAGCCTTCCAGAAATACAAGCTCCGCGAAGCATGTCATGCTGAGGACGACGCAGACGAGCTGGCGAACAGTCGTGCATCACTCGGAGACGCCCTGACTGCCAAAGACCCCAACAAGAAACTGCGAGGCCATGTTGAACAAGGGAAAACTACAATCATTCCACAAAGGCCAACAACTAGAACTGTCTCGTCTCGAATCCCGAGGCCATCGAGCCAAGTCGGGGAAAGGAAAAGCACGGGAACCAGGCTTGCTGCGGACTGTAGACCAAGGAATGCAGTCCCGGGGGAGCCAGATGAACTACTGTGAGGAATAGCGATATTATTTTACGGATGAAACTTTTTCTACTGGACGAATGTTTGAGGTGCATGGTTGGTTCTATTGCTCGAATCAAAGGCAGACAGCATTATGAGACGTCGATCGAGGACATGCGGCATCAGCTCTCACGAGGACATGGACGGAATTATGATGGTGGACATGACGATACGACGGCATCATGGCTTAAGCACAGTATAACTAGTATTAATTATATTCACTCTGGACCTCGAGGCGGGAAACGAGTGTGTGCGACACAAGCAGGGCGTATAAAAAACCAACAAAACGCTGACAGCGGACGTCTGGGGTCTCTTTTCGTGCTCGACGAAGCCAACGACAAGGCGTAGCGTGAATCGTGCCAAGCGCCGCGGTCCAAGATTCCAAGATTCATCCACTCCCTCAGAAGGCGTGGCCGTGCTTGTGGCCGCCGCGGCCATCTGTCCCGCGCATGCGCCGAGTGCCAGCAGCCTGTCACGGTGATGAGCACGCATTCAGTCGTTCGCTCCCGTCCGAGTCTCGCCATCCGAGGCGGGATCCACGGTTCCCGGGCCCCCAGGGCGAGGCGCAAAACGTACCTTGAGACCAGGCCTCCTCGTCAGGCTAGCCCTGAGCTTCATAAGCGCACCGCTGACCTTGTCCCTCACGGTGGGCTTCCGCTTCTGGTGATGGACCTGGCGCGGCCGGCGGGAGAAGAGCCCGGGGCGCGTGGTGGTGGTGGTCTGGTGGTGGGCTCTGTGTCCAAAAGGCATGGTGGCAGATTGAGTCTTGGCAGGAGTCTTTTCTGGTCCTTGGAGGTTGGTGGGATTCTGGTTGTTATGTATTCTTTGCAATACGGAGTGGCCGCTCTTTCCTTCGTGCCTTGGACACGGGCGTGACGTGGGGAGATTGACAATCTACATGGGTGCCGCCGCACGATGATGCCATCGGCTGGGCTGTGCGACGGGGTCTTCTGAAAGGATGGTGGCGGGGTGACGATGGCTCCGAGGAGGAGAAGCGGAAACAAGCTCGTTGCGAGGCTGGAAAACTGGGAATGATTGATGCCCTGGTGGCTTGCGTACGTCACTTGGGGGGTGCTTGAGGGCTTACGATTGGGTGTTGGTGTTTTTTTTTTTCCTTTCCAGGGTCCTTGTGTGGCTGGTGTGTGACGTCACGGTTTTGGGGGGGGCGCTTGGTTTTTGTTCACATACAATCGACTGCTTGGCACAGGCAGGGTGCTTGCCGACGAGACGACGCTCATGTTACGGGAGTATTTGCTGGGGTCTCGACTCTCGAGGCACTTGAAAGATGGGCAGGTCGCTTGAGGAGCGGTATGCATCCGTCGATTGGGGAGTACCAGTACTCCGTACGGAGGCTTCTCGGCTGCGAAATTGGTCGAGGCATCCGGTGCATCCCGCCACGTGTCGGTCGGCCCCGGATAAACGCGGCAGCAGCCGGTGGCGCCCAGCCCCCCACGCCACGTCGGACATGAGGCGCGCCCCGCAACGACTCGGCCCCGGGCGCACCGTCGAGCCGCCGAGCCCGTTTCGCGGCATCTACGCGGCCGTCTCTAGGAAGCCTTCCTGGAAGCAAAGGCCGGCTTGATCGAGAGGGCGCCTTTGCTGACCGGCTGGCTTGTTCCGGATGAACCGATTGAGTCCCTGGACATCGAGAGGCTGCGGACCCTCCAGGTCAGGGAGACCTGGGTTGGTTGCGGGAACGAGGGTGTACCAGAGGGATGGATAGTGCCGTCATGTAACTACGTTTGCATGTAGCTTCGGTCATTGGATTGCGATTCGACTACTCTGTACTCACTTGCTCACTTGATTAGTCAAGATGCCTGCCCACCTACCACCTACAGTAGGTGGTCAATTACTCAACATCAAGCAAATGCTACTTTTATCGACAGGGTCGATAAAAAGCAAACAAATCTCACCCTGGCTAGTACTGCCTAAAGTGCTGTACTTTTATTTGCCGTGCACATTTTCAAGACACTCATTGCTGCGACAACACGGACCGCGTCATCGTCAAATTTCAATTTCAGATTCAACTCCAACATGTTTGGCAAGTAATTTACATTCCGTTTCCCCTCATAATGCGTAATCGTAAAGCGCCGGAAATCGCCGGGTCCAAAGATAAACCATCACCACCGGCTCGGTGCCAAATAGACATGTGCCCGTACACAACAAGCTGATGGGATCGCTCCGCACCAACCACCCTCTCGAGATTCTCAGTTCTTGGTAATGCACTTGTTTTCAAACCATTTGGCAAACTTGACGGTGGGAATGTCCACGGCTCGCCAGAAGACGTCGGCCCACCAGATGACCGTGGGAACAGCAAAGGCTGCCCCCAAGAAAAAGCCCGCGTTGTACCAATAACCCTCAACACCGGTAATTGCATAGGCCATCCTCTCCCAGTGATAGCCAACCGCGTGCATTGCAGGGCCGTGCATCAAATACAGGGCGTATGAAATCTTGCCAAAGTATTGCACCACAGGTGAATTGAAAAATCGTTGCCATGCCGGAGAGTGCCCAACAGCCAGGACAAATACAACCGCGCCCGCGGATTGCCAGTATCGATACTTTTCCTCGCTCCACCACTCGGGAATAAGTGAAGTCAAGTAGACCCAGCCTGGGGCCATCTCGCCCCCGTCGTCTGGTTGCGACAACAAGTATAAGCTCAGAACACTGACCGAAGTCCAGATTATGCTCTTGATCCAGCCGCGGGATTTTCTAGGCTGCTTTTCGATTTGGGGCAAAACGGGCGAAGTGATGTGAGCACCGCGAATGTGATCCATCTCCGCAAGAAGCATGCCACTCAGGAACAAACACAACTCCCATCTCGAATGGCAATAGCTGAACCACGTCATTCCGCCAACAGTCAGAAATCGAATACTCGTCCTCAGACGCGCGGTGCCGATAATGGTAAGAAACAGGTACAGAGAACATCGGAATTCGACAGGAATCGTCCATAGATGCACGTCGTATGCTAAGAGTCTGATGTTAGCAATGGCACGGAGTTCCCTGGCCCTCGAGAATACATGTCTTACATGTACTGCCACCGTATTTGTCCCAACCAAAGACGTGAACAAAATTATACATGTGAAGGGTCCAATCTCTAAATTGAGCATATGACGACTCCATTCGAGCTGGATGAGGCTCGACTACATTCTTCATGTACTTGCGGTCGTTGCCAAATTCTCGTGTCCACTCGTAGGCACCAATTCTCAGCAGACATATAATCATGAATGTAGAAATGGCAGTCGGTAGATATAAGCGAATGGCTCGACGGAAGGTCAGGGAACTCATGGTGGTAGCAAAATCAGAAAGCGCGCCACTTCGAATCAGTTTCACTGGACGATAGGACAATGCGTATCCTGAGATGACGAAGAAAACACAGACTGCTGCGGGTCCTTGATACCAAAGTCTGAGGAAGGGAAGCTTCAAGAAGTGGTAGTTGTCCTCTCCAGTGCCCCAGCTTTTCGCAATTGTAAAGGCCTGGTAGGAGTAATGGCAGAAAAACACAAAGAGAGCGGCGAGTCCTCTCATGCCGTCTAGGTATGCCGTAGGAGCGAGTTTCGGAGGGCAGATCTGCTCACGGGCATGTCTTCCTTGGAGGAAGCTCGGTGTCAGAAAGAAGAGGACTCGAATCAAGAGCACCCGCCATGGCGCTGAACGAAGCTGGCTCCAGGTAGCTGCGACAGCGGATAGATATTCCGAGTAATTTGAGGATCGAACCTTGACCTCAAACCAAGGCTCGGCGTCGGTGACACTGCGCTCGCTGTCAGAATCCGAGTTGTTCTTTTCATCCAACAGCCCCATGTTCTCCTCGTGTGAAGATGAGGACATTGTGTTATTTCTCGGGTTCATTGTGATGCAATGAGCCTTCTCATTGGCTTCTTCTTAGATTTCGGTGCCAAGACGAAAGATCAACAGGATTTGACGGTAGTGTCGCATGCGTAAGGGAGCAGACAGAGTTGGTGAACAAGGCCTGTGTCAAAGAGAAATTCGTTGATCAACACGCTCTCCTCTCCTCTCTACAAGAAGGATTGTATTATCGAGGGAGGGATAGAGAGAAGAGTGAACGGGGGCAAGAAGAGGAAGGGCGGAAAGGGAAGAAGAACTACTCTGAGAACCAGCACAGCACAATGGGAAGGAGACAGAGAGGGAAGGAGGGGAGGGGGGGAGGGAGGCTAAGGGCAACTCGGACGATGCTGATCGGCCCAAGCGAGCAGTGAATAGCTGCCAATTGGAAGGCAACAGACCTTTGCAGACACGCAACATGGCATGGCCTGCATGCGGGATACCAGGTGGCTCATCGAGTACAGTGTCAATCCCTCTTGCTACGGCGGGCCGAGAATAAAGAACGGTTGACTTGAGCACAGATATATTGTGCATTGTTCATGGCTTGCCTGCCTCAAATGTTCCGTTGCTTCATGACCCGAGCCTTCCTTGCGACACGGGTTTGGCGTGCAGGCGCCGGGGTCGTTCCTGCCAAATCGAAATGCGCCTGTACCGTCATTGGTCTTGGCGGGGCCTTGACACTTCGCGAAGCATGATGCATGCATGGTCAACAACGAGCCAAGTGTAGGGCAAACCTGGCCGGCCGAAACCTCCGACGAGGCGGAACAGAGCTGGAGAGTTTGCAACAGGGGCAGGGAGGCGAAGGCGAAAAGCGTCGGATCGGTAGTTACTGGGGCTGCTTATTCGCGACGGTGCCTGATCAGTGATGGCGCATGTGGGCAACTGCTGCAGATCAGATCAACGCGGCGCGGGTGCGCATTGTCTGGACTCTGGACTCTCGTGTCTGTTCGCAGCTAATAAAGGGCCCGTCGTCGGTACTCGGGGCAGGCACGCGTGGATACGCTTTCCAAACGCGGACATGATGGGCACTTGCTCCCTCAAGTCCGGACGCATTGGGCGTCAAGCAAGTCGACGTTGGCGTGCGTGGTGCGTGAACGGTCTACGGTCTAATGTCTACGGGTCTACGGCCTGACGGCCAGGAAGGTCAGATGAAGGGGGGGGGGGGGGGTGGAGACGAGACTCCAGATGAATTCCCCCTTTTGTCTACACTCGTCACTCGTAATGTCATGCCAAGAGACCAAGAGGGCGAAACAAACAAACACACGCACACACTCACACCGACAAACATACCGAGGACCAAAGCCAAGACTGCATCGCTCAGCGGAAGAGCAGAGTTCGCCTTTGCCACAACGCAATCGAGGCCTGTGTGACACAAACAACCCCCCTCCTCGACTTATTCTCGCCGCGACTCGTTCTACCCAGTGCATACTACCATGCCATCCGCACCCATCTTTCTTTTCTTTTCCACCTCTTCAATCTCCGATGGGGACTCTCGTTTCCAGAGCCAAAGTTGGCATTATGCCTAATACGCCACGTTGACTCATCAGCCCACAACTAGAACAGAATACATGCTGACGTGCTCCACACTATTTCCCGACAGCTTGTCACCCTTCCGCATGCTTACAAGGGTACCTAGGAACCTAGGTATCTACTTAATAAGTACCCGTGTGCAGATATTTCACCCCTGAGCGGCTCCACCAACCCGTCTGATCTTGGGTACCGACTTCGTAGCTGGCTACCCAAGGCCAATTTTCTCTTCTCTGCAAGTACTCCGTAGGTTTCACGATTGGCCCGAGTCACCTGACTGCCAAAGCTGAGCCTCCGAGACGATAATTAATAGATGATGTTCTGCGAAAACCTCAAGCCCCGTCACGAAACGCCTCGTCATCACGCACATTTGTGGCTCGAGTCTCCCGAGTGGAAACCACGGGATTGCCCAGCTTCCACGCAAGACGTACATGGACATGGATCTGATTTTTGCCGTGGTCTGTCATCCCATCCCATGCGCCGTTGAGCCGGCAAGCCGGGACCCGAAACATGCACTCGACACGCAGCTTGCCATCGCCTTGCTGTGTCGGTTTCGAGGAGGCCATTGAACGTGTTACAGCCAAGGTGGACAGTTCCACGGCAGAGAGGAGCTGCCAACAGGCTCGCGATGCGAAGGTGGTGGTGGGGCGACACCGAGTCTTGTTCATGTCTGGCGTCATGTCTGGTAGGTTTGTAGTTCCTACATTGTACGCATGGATGCATGGAGTGCCATCTGGCACGCACCCACGCTTGGCTGGGATATTGTGCGTCTCTGCAGCCGAGACTACCCCCCCCCCCCCAGGACGCAGTGCCCGAGACAGTCGCCCGGGCCCGGATGGTGGCACTGGTGGAGCATTCGTCCATATTATTCCGTCAAGATTGCACGCGCATCGCACGGGGCACAAGTAGCGCTACGTCGGTACCTGTTTGTTGGAAAACATGCCACGGCATCTGTGCCATGCTCAAACAGAGGAAGCAAGACCTTTCGCCGGCGTGAAACAGGCGGCCCCCCCAGAATTGTGACCGGCCCCGTCAGGCCTGCAAGTGATTCGGGGCGCGCGAGAGAAGAGAGGAACCCAGCGTCATCAAAAGGCCCCTGGACAAATGCAATGCCCGCATCTCCCTCTTTAGCCACAGGGTAGATGGGTAAGGAGAAGGAAATTGACCGAGCAACACACCATCTTGTCCCGAACCGTCCAGCAAGGACCTGATCCTGCCCTCGCGGCCCACGGACAAGCGAATGATGGAATCTCCCGGAGCCCCGACGGGCACTCGAGCTTGAGCACCAGGCCACCACAATCCCGCCTCGACGACTACGGAGGCGCACCACGCCGCAGGAGGAATAATGGTCCTGCTTCGCTCGGCAATCTCAGCCGCGGGTGACTGAGCGACGGGGCACAACTCGTCGCGGCGCGCGCTTGGTGGGATTCATCGACAAGGGCATATGTATCATGCATCGAGCGTGGGAGGGCAGCGTTTCTCGCCTCTTGTCCTGCGATAACAAGTGCATGTAGTATATCCAAGGCTATGACATGACGACCAGACGTTGTGGAAATGATAGGCTCTCCATCAACATTTGCCAATTCAAGACTAATTGGCACTTTCAATGTGTGCCGGTACGCCCAACGCCCCGGTTTCTTTTCTTTTTATACTGGAAAAAGAGTGCATCGTCTTCACCAACAAGTTGGAGGCGCCACAGCCGAGTTTCAGAGTCATCGAACCATTCATCGCTCTTACACGTCGTCCAAAATGATGGCACGGCCCGCTTCGATTCCCAAATCCCTTTGCATATTCCATAACGCCTTTCCCATGCTCCATTTCCCCGTATTTCAAAACGACCACACGGTCCCCTGTAGACACGGGTACGCACCTAGTTCTCCAGCCAGTCCAGGAACTGGGGAGTAAAGTAGCTGACTACAATAGTGGCGCCCGCGCGTAGAATGCTCTCCGTGGCCTCGAACGCAGCAGCCTTGAGATCGAACACGCCAGCCTTGGCCGCGGCGTGGATCATGGAGTATTCCCCGCTGACCTGGTAGGCGGCAATTGGAAGATCCTTGCCCAGGTCCTTGGCGTCGCTGATGATGTCGAGGTACTGGCCCGCGGGCTTGACCATGATGATGTCGGCGCCCTCGGCAATGTCACGGACAATGGCGCGGCGGGCGAGACCACGCCCGCTGGGCGGAAGCTGGTAGCATTTTCGGTCTCCGAAAGACGGGGCGGAGCCGGCGGCGTCGCGGAACGGGCCGTATAGACAGCCCGAGAACTTGGCCGAGTAGGACATCAGCGTGGTCTTGTGCGCAATCCCCTCCTCGATGAGCTTGAGCTTGATGGCGCGGATGCGCCCGTCGTTCATGTCCGAAGGGGCAACGCAGTGGGCGCCCGCCTTTGCGTAGGCAATGGCCACGTCGGAGATGCGGTCGACGGAAAGCTGGTTGTTGAGGCTGCCGTCGTCTCGCAGGATACCGCAGTGGCCGTGAGAGGTATACTCGCACAGGCAGACGTCGGTGCAGATGAAGATTTGGGGGAACCGGCGCCGAATGAGGCGAATGGCCCGGATGACAGGGCCCTGGGGGTCGTCGGCGGCACTGCCAAGAGCATCCTTTGTGCCGGGCTTCATGGGAACGCCGAACAGCATGACGGAACGAAGGCCTTTGTGGACGAGGGGCTCGAGGAACGGCACAAGCCTGTCGATGCTCAGCTGGTACTGGCCGGGCAGCGAGGGGACCAGGTTCATGTCGTTGTCGCCGTCAGTGACGAACATCGGGTAAACGAACATGGACTGTGGCAGAGATTCGGGGTTAGCGTGAAAAAAGGTTCAAAGGCTCAAAGGACACAGCGGGAGTCGTGTGAGTGTGTGTGATGGACCGTTTTGAACACACCTTGGTCAGTTGGCGCTCGGCCTGCCATGAGCGGGCCAGAGGATGGAAGTAACCGCCGTGCAACTGGCTTCCAATGTCGCCGGAAATGCTCACGCTGGTCGCGGCGGTGCTGGTGTACGACATGGCTCGAGAAATGTGTGAAGTTCGGTCGTCGACGGTGGAGATGGATGCGGGCTGGGCCGGTCGGCGAGCGGCGCCATCGCGGAGAGTGAGATCCTGAACGAGGGTGGAGAATGACATGGCGAAGGGTGTTGAAGGGTGCGAAGAGGTTCAATTGATTGCTGCCGCACGAGAGAGAAATTTGTCGCCGGCGACAAGACGTTGTTGACGACGGGAGGCCGGGAGGTGGCAACGTGCGCCGTCGAGGAGTCGACTACTATTAAGTACCCCGTACTCCGTTCTCCGTGCTTACTTACCTACCTACCTAAGGTAAGTACTCAGTAAGTAAGTAATCAAGTACTTGGGTACTTGAGTAGTCGGCCGTTTTCTTTTGCTGGGATTTGATTGGCTGTGGCTGACTGGCTGGTGGATGCAAGTGCGGGAAGCGCAGTGACAATCCTTGGTGTGTACTTTGAGCGGAGCGTAGAGGTACCCCGTGCCTCGAACGGCAGCCGTCGGATCGTCCACAGCGACTTTGGAGCCAATCACGTCTCGGGAAATGTAAGGCGGAGGCTGTGACGAGTTGAACCGGCCCCAGCCAGCCAGCCAGGCCGCAGCCGAGAGCGGATGGATGCCCGCCGACGGTTCTCCTCCGCGTCCGGTCCATTACACAACGGCCACGTTCCCCGGCAGAAGCCGAGGGCTTGGCAAAGACAAACATGGAAGCCACAAAAAAATCTAACGAGTATATAATACTAGGAAATGGTAATACGCAGCATTGCTCCACTACAGCAACCTATTGAGCAATTGATTGTAAATGATGGCCATTTAGATAGAAACGAACAATTTATAGTTGCAAAAGTTTCCCCGGCATCCTACTACACCAAGACGTCTGGAATGTTCCCGTCAGGCATCGGCGTATCCAACTCGGTGCATCCATGGCCTCGGCAGAAAATCCATCCGGTGCGCAATTCTACAGCCAACATTGTCTGCGACCCAGAGTCGAGGTTCCTGTTCGCTAAGCACGTAAATGTGAACATCGACACCACTCGCAGAGTCACCTTTGGTTGAGGCTACTTTCTGCAGTCACAAGGTGGACAGATAGCCTGAGGCGGGGCCATGCTGTCGACGGGCTTGACCTTCTCGACGGGAGCGGCGCCGTGGGTAGCGCCGCTGCCGGTGCTGGCATTGTCCTCGGTATTGGAATAGATGCTGTCAGGGTGTTTGTTCTCGGCGTCCTCCTGGGTGACGGGAATAGTACTGTCATCGGGGGCGACGTGCTCGTCGGCATCGCCCTGGCCGTTGGAGACGCCGCTAGGATGTGTGTTCTCAGCACCCTCCTCGATGGGAGTAGTACCGTCATGGCTAGCGCCGCTGCCGGTGTTGGCATTGTCCTTGTCATCGGAATAGATGCTGCCCAAATCCTCCGTCATGGGCTTCGGCCTCTCATCGACGGTAGTAGCGCCTTTGTTAGCACCGTCGGGAGTGCTGCCTTGACTTCCAGCTCCGACTTTCGGGCCACAACTTGATTTGTGCGAGCCGACAGGCTTGGAGAACGGCCTGGTGTCAACTTCCTGGCTCGGGACTGGCTCGGAGACTGGCTCGTTGGTGTCAACTTCCTGGTTCGGGACAGGCTTGGAGAACGGCTTGGTGTCAACTTCCTGGCTCGGGACTGGCTCGTTGGTGTCAACGTCCTGGTTCGGGACAGGCTTGGAGACCGGCTCGTTGGTGTCAACATCATTGCTCGAGACGGGCTCGAGGACAGGGGCCTCCTTCCTAGGAACAATGGTGACATTTTCGTTGCCCATGGCCTCGGCGACCACCTTTTTGCAGTTGCCTAATTTGCTAGGATCTACATAATCCTTCTTCTCCTCATATTCTTCGATACTCTTGATCTGTTTAGCCCCCGCGTCTTTGTTGACCTCGATGTCCCTGGGATCGATGCGAAGTTCCCCTCGGCCGTCAGAGTAGCCATTGAGCTTGAAAATGATCACGACCGAATACGCGATGTATAGTTCACCGTCGATGCGTAACACGTCTCCCATACCAGTCGATACTTGTCCGGGAGTCGTCAAGTTTTGCCCGACCGTCGAGTCAGCCACCTTGTCACCAGCTTCGTTCGAGATGTCGGCTGCCTGGACATTTTCACCAACAGGCGTCGCACCGTCTTGGGTCCCGCTGGGTACCTTGACTAGTGTCATAGCAGGCACATGAATCGTGTCTGTCACATTACGACCATGACTCTGGCCGTCCTGACCGTCCGCGTGTGCGCTGTTCCCGTTTGTGGCATTTGTAACATGCTTCCCGGGCTCGAACTGGCTTATTATCGAGTTTAGGCCTTCACGCTCCAGGTACTTCTTGGCATTGTCCACGTAGTACTGGGGATCGATGCTTTTTCCACCCGCGGGGGGCTTGTTGAATTCTGGGGGCTTGTTGAATACTCCTACCCCGGAGGTATTTTCTTTCGACTTTCTGTACAGCTCGATATAGTATTCTTTGTCGCCTTTAGGCTCGGTGTTGTTGCAGAACTTGGTCACCAAAAATTTAACCTCACTCTTGTTCTCCTCGTCGTGCCCCTTGGGCTCCAGACCGTTTCTTTCCTTGCAGCCGCCGCAGGACAACTTGTCCAATATAACCTTTTGGGTGCAAAACATGCGCTGTTCCTTCAGGAAATCTGTCTCTTTTCCTAGAGTCTCTTGGATCGTGAACTCATTGCGCATGTTGTCGGCGCAAGGAAAGTTCCCATGTTTGGTAGTCGAGTCGGTCTTGTAGCAGCTGTTGTAGATGAAATTCGGGTCCTTTTTGTATTCAGCAGACTTGATGGCGTGCTCCTGGAACCAACTGTCGTCTTGGCGTGTTATGTCCTCACCCGCCAAAAGGTTTTGCGGCGCTGCTCCGGCAATATTGCCGCTGCCGAGGACCGTAATGACTCCAACGGCCGTGAGGGGGAACTTCATTTTTGCGTCGTTGCAACAAGCCTAGTAATCAAGTTGAAAATGCTGTCACACCCACCAAGTAAGCGAGCGTCGTTTGGCAACAAAGCGGATAAGGGTGTGAAACGAAAGACGAGGCCACTTCACTGACGTCGATCAACTAAGATGTCGGTCACTGGCTTTGCGAGACACGTCGGCCCGTTGTCAGGAGAATGCAACGCCGCTTTATACAACAGGAACAGGAACCGCCTTGTTGGTCCTCGCCCTGGCCTTGGCCAGGCAGGCGATGCTCGGAGCAGGGTCAACCTTGGCAGGCCGCGGACACGTTGACCGACGGGCCAGATGACGACGGCCTGCGCCCACCCAGCTGATACCGGACAATCACCGAGTACGGCGCTGATGCTCGGCACAGGGTGCCTGCTCGTCACGCTGTAGATTTCATCCCACTCGATTCATGCCGCGTCCGGCGTCCGGCGTCCAGCATCCAGCCGTGGGCGCGTCTTCATGCCCATGGGGCCCTTTGAAGCACCTAATTGAAAGTTTGAAACTTGACCGCGCCGTGATATTAGGCTGTGCCGCGTCCTCTGTTTCCCGACTTGCCAGGCAGCCTTTTGCCGCTTGCGCTGTGCCAGGAGGCTCCGCCGTGACTCGATGCAAATCAAACGGGGCAAACCTTGGTCTCCAGTTCGTCTCCTGTGTGCATGCAGCTCGCCCAGGGTTGCCGGCCAGGTAGGTACTCGGACAATCTGTCATGGTCGACAATTTGCAAGTCATTGTGTTTGATGCTGAATCGTCGTCATGCCCCGTCGTCGGCTTTGCTAGCTTGCCACGGTGGGCCGTGGGCCGTGGGCCGTGGGCCTGGTGTCGTGACGAAGTAGAAATGGGACATCAAAGCACGCGTCCTGGGAAATTGGAACCGCAGAGGTGCCCCTTGGATGTCGAGGCTCAACTGCCCATGGAGGCAGCACAAACCATGCATCCGCCATGCGCCTCGTGTCGTCGACTTCTTCTTCAGACGCGACACGTCGTCCGGTCCAATCCCGGCAAGCAGCTCCTCTCAGGGCTCGACTGCGTCGCTAGCGCCTTGGCGCCTCCCAATGGGGCGTAGTCCGTGCCGCATATCCCCCCCCCCACCACTGTTCAGGCACCGCGCCCCGCACTGCCGGCTCTAGAGGAAACGTCTAAAATTATGCATGGCACCACCATCGAGCTGGATGGATAAGGATAATACGAGGCTGCACATATTATGTTGCAATGATGAGACGCGGCGCTCCATCGGCATTCGCTCAACTGCCTGCCGTCTTGGCGTGTGACAAGCCGAGCCGGTCGCCGGTCGCCGGTCGCCGCGCTCGCTGACGCAGGGTAGGGTTCATGTTGCATGTAAGTTAGTTAGTTATTATGCATTACGTCGTGGTCCCGTACCGCACCGCCAGTCGGTCACGGCTCACGACTCACCAGCTGCTAATTGGTTCCCAGGTCGTTGGTATGTCTCCATGTTCCTTCCTGTTTGAGTCGTGTTGCTTGCCTTGCCTCTCCTTGCCGCCTTGCCTTGCGAACCGCCACGCTCTCCTCTCCTCTCCTCTCCTCTCCTCTCACGATCCGCCCTCCGCCTGCGTCGCCAAGCTTGCCGCAACCTGGCCGAGTCATGCACGGTCCTTGGTCTTGCTCACGGCACTTGCCGTACGTGACCAAGCAAGGACAAGGACTTCTGCTGATGCGGCCGGCCAGCATGTCGCCATCGTAGCCCTTGCTGTTGTGCCCGCGTGGAAGCGGAGGCTCGTGCCGGACAGCCTCCCCCGTACACCAGCAACTTCCCAAGGCGTAGGCGTAATTTCCTGTTTCTCCTCCTTTTTCAGATTTCGTGCCCCCCCCCCTCGCATGCCGGTCGTGCAAAGGACCCGCGACGCCCTCAGCACGCGTGTACTTTGCCGTGGAACCGGCAGGGCCGCCTCTGGAGACGACACCAAACCGAGACGTTTGTCTGTCTGGCCCCCGGCACGCTCCAGTCACGGCGGCGCCTGTGGTGATTGCAGGACGCTCGCTGGAGCCAGAGTGGCAGGGAAGAACGGTGCCGTCCCGTGTACGTATGTCTATATATGTACATGACTGACCTTGCGAGCATCCCTGATAGCTGGAGAGGGGAGCAGGAGGCCATTTTGATGACGGTGGTTGTCGTGGAACCACGAGGTTGCAAAAGTCACCCGACGGCCCTGCCATCAGAGAAGTCGAGCATGTCGGCGGGTCGGCGACGAATCGTGCCCGTGTTGCCGGAACGCCGCTTCACGAGGCGTCATCGTAGCTGCGTGTGAATGCGATGCGGCACTCGATTGATTAATGGAACTCGCACGACGCACTGCAGTCTGATGTTTGCTGCGGAGAAACAGCCGAGATGGCAACTCGTTCCGAGGCGGTTGTGTACGGGCACGCATTTCCAAGCACGAAGACGGTTGCCATCACCTTGGCCGTCGTCGTCGTCGTCGTCGTCGTCTTCTCCGTCACCGTATGACCGCCCTCTCGAAAACCAAGGGCTAGCAAACAGGCCATCTGCCTACGCAGGCTTCTGTCCGAGGGATTTACATCAGCGCCCTAAAGGCTGGTAGGTCGCGGGGCGGCCATTGTTAACCTTTTGACACCTCGATTCTCCCGCTCTTGTCTGTGATTCCCGTCCGTTTCGCCCTGGCGTTGCATATCCCCCTTCCCAAGATGTGGGATTGGCGAGTGTCTGCTGTAGTAGCTCCGTTCCAGCTTGGACCTGGTACCGATGCCGACCTCGTCGAAACGAGATACACGGCTCTGCTGTCGTTCATCGCGACAAGGAACGGCCAGCTGGGCCCTCACAACTCACTGGCTCTTACAAAATGCCCGGCGGCGAGACACTCGGCTCACGAGCCGCCGCAAGTAGCTGCTTCAATATACCCATTGACCTGGCTGAGTCTCTAAATCGTAGTAGTAGTAAACAACTCATCCCGCCCACTGGGCCGTATCTTTTTTTCCCTTTCTGGCATTGTCCCCCAAGAGAAAAAAAAGTCCCGGTGAAAGGCCGCCCACGCCCAGGTCTTCTATAACCCCCGAAGCAAGGTGTTATCGCGCTCATCCATCGGTACATACCTCTCCTTCAACACGTCCGCGGCGGTGCGCTTATCACGGCCAGCCTTTTCAAATCTCTGATCCAGAGCCCTCGCAACAGGGTCTGACGTGGGCAAGGCAGCAGTCCCAGGGTCGACGCCGGCACCGGAGAGGCCGACAGCAGACTTGACCTTGCCTACAACCTCGTTGGCCTTCTCCTTGTCCTTTTCTAGCGCCGAGGCAACCGCTCCCATGGTCTCGGACGCCTTTTGACGGGCCTCGTTCTCGGCCCTCTGGGCTTCCCTCCAAGCAGCCAGTTTCGCCCCGAGAGCTTTGTCCTTGACTTTGGCCTCAAAGTCCTCGCCTTGTTCCTTGGTCCTGCGGAAAGCGTCCTTGGCCTTGGAGGCGACCCCTCCCGCCGCGCCTTGGACTCCGGCCTTGGCCTGGTTCGACACGGACTGAATCTTGCTCTTGGCCTTGGCGGCGCCGTCTTGTATCGACTCGCCAAAGGCTCTGTCCCACAGTGCGGCGATGCGGTCCTCGAGTCCCTCACGAAGCTCATCCCAGTCCGTGTGCTGCACCCATTTCACGGCGTTCTCGACCTCCTCGTTCCAGCGGTCCTTGGCGACTTCAATGGCCTCGGCTCGCTTGGCTGCGGCGACCTCGGACCGAGTAGGCGGCAATGGCTGAGGAACGGGGTCGATGAGGCCCTGGATGGCGAGGGCTTGAGAGCGCAGCGACCGGCCCTGCTGTTCGCGGTTTCGCTGGTGGGCGAGCACGGAGAGATATGCGATAGACAGTGTCAGGGCGACGCCGCCAGTCTGCGGCAAGCAAGCCGGTTAGCGAGACCGTCGTCACGGTTGCCAACTGCCGAGATGATGGATAGTCAGCGACTCACAAAGCCAGTAGCGAAACCCATGGCGTCGGTGCTGTAGAGCCAAGGTCCAACCAGGCGCCGGGACTGACGGTGATGCGGGAGTTGACCGTGCCTAGATCAAGAGATGATTCATCAGACGGCAATCGACGAGACTGGAAGAAACCGCAGATGCCTTTTCTATTTAGCGCAGTTCATGATGCGCAGCAGGTGTGTAGCTCGGTAGCGGCAAAGGGGCAGCGAGTCAATTGGCAGTTTGCGCGATGCCGTCAAACGCGTGACTCGGGGACTTGGACTTGGTGATGGGTGGGGATTTTCCTCGGTTGACGTCGTTTTCTTTTCTTTTCCTTTTTTTTTTTTTTTTTTTCGAACTGGACCCGTCACCCTGGGCCGAGCCAATCCCGGGCCTCCTTCGCTCACCACCTACCCGGAATTGATCGACTTCTCGACTCTCGACTCTCGACTCTCTTTCTTGTCCGACAGCCATGAAGAACGGTCCGTCACCAAGCGCTTGATTCACCGCACGCCCAGTCGCACAGGCGCCGCTCCTTCCTCGACCGCAGCGGTACATCGCAGCATGGCCGGCGGTCTCGTCAAATACCGGCATCTCAGCCGAAACTCATCCGCCCGGAAAGCTCTGCTGCGAGGCCTGGTCACCCAGCTCGTGCAGTACGAGCACATCCAGACGACCCATGCAAAGGCAAAAGAGGCCCAGCGACTGGCAGAAAAGCTGATTACTCTGGCCAAGAGGAACAATGAGCCCTGTAGGAGATCAGCACAGGGGATTCTTTACGTTCGTGGCCGCCGTCTCTCTTCGTCCGCGCCGACGGCGGGACGCGCACACACGCGACAGCGTGCTGGCTCTCGAGGCTAACCAGACGCAATAGACACCCCACATTCTTCTTCCCAAACTCTTTGGCGAGCTGCGCAACAGATATCTTACTCGAGAAGGCGGCTACACCCGCGTCGTCCGCACCGAACCGAAAAACACCTACGACCAAGGCGAGAGCTGCATCCTCGAATTCGTCGACGGTCCCAAGGACTCACGGTTCATGATGACGGCCAAGACGGTGGCCAGAGATCGCCTCTTGGGACGGGAGACTACCGCCGTGACGGCGCAGAATATTAAGAAAGTAACACAGTTCCGGGGGGAAAAGGACCTCGAAGATATGGTCCAGCGATTCTTGGCTCTGCAGACGCCTGATGGGGCTGCCGAGGAAGAGGGACACAGCGTCGAGGCAGCACGAATTGCGGGTGAGGAGAGCTCCAAAGCACAAGCACTTGCTGCAGAGGTCAAGGCTCAAAAGCAGGAAGTCAAGAGCTAATTTTGGACAAGATGTGGCGTAGAATAGATGGCCAAGTAGGCGCCATCATGCGCCGTGTACCAATGTATTGTATTGTTTGTAGTTGCCTGCCTAGCTACTGGTAGTGATATCAAAGAAACACCGCAGTAGAAACTGCTCTGGTCACGATTTCCTTCCGAGGAAAGACTCTTTTTCTTCACGAGTTCCTTTGCACGAAACTTCAAAGCCTCCGAATTCTTTCCTGCCCATGACGCCTTTTCTTTGTGCTCCGTCCTATACAACACCGACAGCGGCCTCGAAAATTGGCGACAGGTCATGAGATGCACAGATTGTACTCCCCATTCGCTTTCTTTCCAACGCTCTCTAGGGCAAGCTGGACAGATCCCCAATAGTGAGGTAGTTGCAAAATTTTATCTCTCGTGGCGGGACTAAAGCATGGTGTCCCAATGTAAGACTTGCGGCCGGTCCCTTCTAAGCGGGATCGGGCGCCCCTATTGTCGCCATAGTTTCGCAAGTCGTGAATAAAGCTCCGACTATTTTGGTAGAATTGTGGGTCACTTGCAGCGATTTCTGAGAGCATTTCTTGCTTCTTTGCCTCGAAACGGGTGGAGGCATCCCAGATTCGCCCCAAGGAATCCTTCCATGGTCCCCTTGGGAGGTTCCTTTCCCAAATATCTGCTGTAAGCTGAACTGGGATGTTTCAAGTCGACGAGTTGAGATTCAATCCAACCTGAAAGAAGAATAAATTTTTACCATGGACTGGAGAAGTAAAGAGTGGTCTGGAATTACCTTGCAAGTAATCCTTGGTAAATGTCATTATGTTTCCGTTCGAAACAATAGACGCCATGTTTTGCTCGTCGTCGATCTTCTGCTTGGTTTGCATATCGGTATACTTTCTGGCGCATGAATAATATTTGGCTGGACAGGGACTTCAGAAACACTAAGTACATGATGCTCCTTCTGGATGAAAGTGAATTTGCGTGCGAGGGGGTTCGCGACGTGTTCGGGGAAGGATCAGCAGCTTTGCGGATTGTGATTGTTACCGCATCGTCTTTATAACAGTAAAGATTATATATGGCAACAATGCTCTCGTCGTTGAGCACCCGTACCGCTGCGGCCATACTGTGGGAGTGAATGTAAAAAGCATGCTCGGCAACAGCTCCTTTACCGCCGCTCAGGCGAATGCAGGTCTGGAGGCTCAGGTCTTGCTTTTGGATCTCCTCCAACGTACAAACTCCTTGAGTAAAGGAATTGCTCTTCATGCTCTCATTCAGGAAGAGACTGAGTCTGCCTCGTGGGGTTCGTCTTGCGAGGAGCCATTGTGGCGGCTTGATGGATATTAAGAGAACTGGATAGGTTGAAGAATAAAGAAAAAAAAGCCTGGCACCGGCGAAGGTTTAATATATATATATAAAAAAAGCGGCTTAATCGTCCAAGCGATGGCTAGGCTTAGTCAAGTAAGCCTGCTACACGGCACTATGTCAATCGTCAGTTGGTCACCCTTTCCCAATTCCGGAGTAACAACACGCTGTTCAAATTCTCAGGCAGCACTGCTACATCAGTTAAGCCGAATCACAGCACGGATTAGAGTCAAACTCATGGATATCCGAAGCAAGATATGCCTCAGTGCAGACAGCAGCAATGGGCAAAGCAGAAAAGAGGTCAAAAGAGCCCGTTGGCGGAGCGTCGACTGCTCCCCCAACGGTACCGCAAACCACATCGGCCCTCAAAGCAGACGCTCTTCTTGGCCACAAGATCCGCGTCCTGATATACAATCTTCTGAATATCACCAAAGATCCCTCGTCGGCGAAAAGACTAAACGCCACGATAGACGAGCACTACATCAGCACACCGTATTTCACAGCCCCCGAGGCAGAAGCCCTCAAGAGTGCCACAGTCGATGTGGAAATCAACTCGCATCTCATGCCAGACGAGTCCAGTGGTGCAGAGTCTATACCAGGAAAGTCACTACACGATGCGCTTTGCGCTTTGCTCCAGAACTTCCTCGAGAGACGAACGATGCCCGGCCTTGTGGGCCTCACGATTTGGCGCCTATTTTTGCGGCTCTTTTTGGAGTGGAGGAGGTAAAGGATGACAAGTTTCTGGGCCGGCTGAGGAGAAACGGGGTGCAGTGATTCTTACTCAAGGGACCTATTATTGGAGTCACGGCACGGCATTGCATTTCCCTCTACGTTCGTGTAATAAGCCAAGCTAGCCAACTCTGTATTTCATACAAAATCAAAGGTATCGCCACGCTCCCGAATCATCTTCCCGACTCTCTTTGATCCTACAACTCTTTCCAACTTCATCACGTCGTATTTGGAGAACATGACCCGCACCGTTCCCTGCCCGGGTTCAATCCTGAGATCCCGCTCACTCCTGCCAAGATACTCTCCCGCAATCTCCCGATAAAAGATGGGATTCTCCGGCAGTCCGTAGAAAATCACCCTCTGCACAGCACTGAACTGATACCGCCTGAAGTGGTGCGCTCGCTCAGTGTATAACAACACGCGGTGACGACCCGTCAAGAAATGCGAGCGGGCTCGAGACGCATCAGGGACATCAGTGTATTCTGACACAGCGCCGAACGTGACGTCACTCATGGCGGGGGAGTTGGCAAAGTAGTTTCGGACGCGAACAAAGTCGAGGTAGGAGGGAATGAACAGCAGCGTGCCCCTCATATCTTTGACACGCTTGGCAAGCGTTGGCACGATGGCTGAGACAAAGTATTCGAATCTCGCGTCAGGGTCCTTCTCGACGGAAGATGACTGAAACCGCGAAAAGGTCTGCTTTGCTTTGATCCCGAGCTGCTGGATCATGCCGTGGTACTCGGGCTGCAGGCCAATCTTCCCGGCCCAGTTGTGACAATGCGATCTTTGGAGCTCCGTGAGCTCAGGGGTATTGAAAGCGGACAAGACAATGGTCTGTCTAAAGTACTTCGCCCAGTCTTCGAGATACCAGTTTCGGAGACGGCTAAAGTCGCACCCGTGCGCATCCTTCGGCTGCAAGTTTAGGTGCTCAAAGATGTACTCGACGTGTTCCCAGTTTTGCATGAGCAGCGCATCTGCTTGGTCGACTATGACTATTTCAATGGAGCTGAGAAAGTCATAGTCTGGCTTCTTCTTTTCATCTTCGGATCCAATTGCCATTCGGAGACCGAGGGGACTAGCGAAGAGGATATCTGAATTGTAGAATTGGGAAAAGTACTTGATTGTTTTCCGGGTGAATTTGACGCCCAGCCGAAACATATCATCGTCGTTGCCTTCAAATAGAGCCCTGAAATCTTCGGGTCTGTCTTGTCCAAAATTGACTTCTTTTTCAATATATGAGTCGTCGAACCTCTTGCGGTTTTCTTGCTGGTCGGGGTCGCAGAGGTCGCGGATGACGTCAATCATCTTCGCACAAGAATTTCTCGTAGGAAGCAGAAAGAGGACCTTGGGCCGGGTGAAGCCTTGGTCTCGGAGCTCTAGTTCCGGGTCTTCGCCTTCCTTGGCTAGCTTATAGTTGTTCTTGATCACGCGATCCCTCGTCCTGGAACCGCATTAGCAGGCTATATAGTGATTTCAGCCCGGTTAGCAAACCTACTTGAAAACATGATTTAGCGCATGCAAACACACCACTTGTCGTAGTGCTGTAGCATTCTTCACCGTTCGTTCACAGTGGAAAATATCCATGTATTCAAAGAGCAGTGGCAGAATCGCCTTCTGTGTCGCGTCCAGCATGTCCATCTTCTTAGAAGCCATCTCCTGTAATTTCTGCTTGAGCTTCAACCCTTCAATACCGCAGGGATGAGGGACTTCGATTTCGCTACCGGCTCCAGCAGACATCATGGTAGCTCTGAATGATGAAATAAACGCTCTCGTCGTAGCCCAGTCGTTGTCCTTGGCTGCTTTGACGGCCTGCCCGACTGCCCGGTCATTTGGATGCGCAAAATGAACGTCAAAGGGATCCATGAGCTCCGCGTCATCTTCGGAATCCGCCTCCTCCTCAAGCTGATCGTCATTGTTGTCGAAATCTTCGGCTTCATCGATGTCATCGAGATCCTCCCGATCCTGCTGACTTGGTGCATTCGTGTCCTCATAGTTAGAGCTGTTTCCTGGTTGGGAGTGACTACTATGATCCAGCTTCCGCCTTTTTGCTGTGGAACCACTGGAATCGTGGAAACTCTGTAACAGGGTCATATACGGCCGAGCGGCGGGCGTTTCCTCGTCATCAGAAGCACTGTCGCCGACTTCTTGATCTTGCTCATTCTGAGACTCTTGTTCAGACAGCGGCTCAGTTTCCCTAATTGACGGGTAAATATCCAAGCTACGTTCCAGGTTTTAGACACCCCCAAAATGTTCAAAGACTTACTCATCCTTGTCTGCCAGGCGGTCGCCTTCAAACCGTTTCATAGGTCCATGGCGACTGAATCCTCTCCCTCTGCCTCGTCCTCCACGGCCCCCTCGACCTCCTCTGGTCCCTCTGCCCCTCGAGTTGCCGCCTCTCCCACGCGGTCCCATTAGGTGTAAAACAAGGCGAGGATACTTCAAAACCGAGGCAGCAAACCGACGGTCAGAAAAAAATGGCACAAACTACTCCGTATGTACACCCAAATCCTAGACCCGCTAAAAAGTTCAGACTTCTTCTCGCAGCCTTGGGGATTGGTAAGACGCAGCCGTGCCCAGCCACAGCCTTTGTGGGGGCTCAGCCACGTTTCCCTTATCGTGGCTTATCTATGCGCACAACCCCAGCTTGAGCCCAGCCAAACCGTGCAAATCGAAAAATCGGCGAAAACTGAGGGTGCGCGTCGCGAGCAAAGTGAACGGCCGCCCAGAACAAGTCGACTCTTGCTTCTACCTCCCGCCTCCCTACACGCCCATACCGTACCTTCGAACGAACGAACAACCGCTTCGTGTCGACATCCTTCTTGCCCAGTATGGCCGCCGCCGCTACCGAGCGCTTCATACATCTCGCGCGTCCTTTGACGCACGCCAACGCCGGGCTTCAGTCGAGCATTGCCCCGCTTGTCGTCAACATCCAACCTCAGGTACATAACATATCACGACCCTCACGCTAGCTTGAAACAACTCTTGAGCACCGTCCATTTCCAGGAGGGGAAACCCTATTTATTTCAATATAAAAGCATCCCAAGCTCGTTCCATTCACGCTGTACGCCGCACTAACATTGGGATCCCACCCTCCCTCAAAACAGGCTGTCCTCTCGGTCCTGGACCATGCCGTCCGAAGGGACAACAGCGAAAATGCCCAGTCGACCCGTGTGATTGGCGCCCTCGTCGGCACCCGCTCCGAAGACGGCACCGAAGTCGAGGTGCGCTCTTGCTTTGCCATCCCCCACACCGAAGAGGAGGACCAGGTCGAGGTCGACGTCGAATACCAGAAGAACATGCTCGCCCTGACGCTCAAGGCCTCCCCTCGCGAGGCCCTCCTCGGCTGGTACACCACCTCCCCCGAGCTCAACAGCTTCAGCGCCTTGATCCAGAACTTCTTCGCCAGCGCCGAGACAGGAACGGCCCCTCACCCGGCCATCCACATGACCATTTCTACCGAGCCCGGCGAGGACATCCAGACCCGATGTTACATCAGCGCCCCGGTTGCCATCAACGCCGAGCGCGCCGCCGAAAGCTGCCTCTTCATCCAGGTCCCCCACAAGATCCTCTACGGCGACTCGGAGCGTGTTGCCCTCGAGGCTGTCGCCAGCGCGCAGAACAACGAGAACAGAACCGCGCCTCTGGTCTCGGATATCGAGGGTCTCGGGCGATCCATCGAGCAGACCCTGAACCTCCTGGACCGCGTGAGCGAGTGGATCAACGGCGTGCTGGACGAAGAGGAGGAGCCCAACAACGCCCTGGGTCAGTACTTGATGAGCGCCCTGTCTCTGACCCCCAAGGTGGACGCGTCCCAGATTGAGCACGACTTCAACAACCACATCCAGGATGTCCTGATGGTCAGCTACTTGGCCAACACTATCCGCACACAGATCGATCTGTCGCAACGACTGGCAATCGCCAACCTGGCCGGCAATGAAAAGGACGGCGAGGGCAAGGGTGACGGCGACAAGGGGGGCCAGCGGGGAAGCAAGCGAGGTGGCCGTGGCGGCGCCAGAAGCGGTGGTCAGCAGCGTGAGCCGAGGGAGCCCAGAGAACACCGGGAGCCCAGAGAGCCTGCGGAGTAAAATGGAGGCGGGACATGATTCACCGTGTCTTTTATGATAGTGTGTTGGTGTTTGGCGGGATTCCCAATGCTGAACAAACGCGGAGGGAGACGCCCTTGGATGCCCCGACGTTATGAAGAAAGGACGCTGCATGTTTTGATAACTGCACATGTCGGGAGTCGAGTAGGGGACATGGACACCGTGTCATAACACATCATCGTGGCGTTGTGGTTAGCCGTATTTGATTCGGCAACTGAGACTTTAGATCCAAAAAAGTAGAATGGGAAATTTTTGAAATCGCCATGCAGTGGTTCATTGAAGGAAATAATATGGCTATCAATGTAATGCTCGTCATCTAATGACAATGCGTATACCCTACGAACGACATTGACGTGGAGTTCTTTTTCATCCTATCCACCGATAACGCCAAAAAAAAAAATAAGTCAAAGAGGAACAGAAAAAAAAAACGAAGAGGGAGGAAGGGAAAGAGGGAAAAATATAACAGAGACCCGTTCATGCCCATATGCGCCTGCTTGACTCGGCCAACTGCCCCTTAACACCGCATGATGCACCTAAATTCCAGTAGCCGGTTTCTGCGGTAGAGTAGCCGGGTTCCCGTAGGTAGGTAAATGAGTGAATATCTGACCGGCCCCTTGAGGGGCAGGCATTGGAGGTCGACCGGGAATATGTGCCGGGGGAGCCTGTGGTAGATGTTGGTGCGGAGGACCAAGAGGCCCAGCTGGCAAAGGAGGTAGTTGAGGCTGCTGCATATGTGGTGAGGGGACATGCGGGACGCTGTGATAGCCGGGCATAGAGCTGCTTGATCCCTGTCGTGCCATGACGTACCCTCCACCGAATGCTTGAGGGACGGACGGAGGGTAAGCTCCATATGACAGATGCGGTGGAGTGCCAATTTGTGGGCTGCCGTGATGAGACCCAGGAGCCGTGAAAGGCGGCTGGGGAGGCGGCACTATTGGCACTCCAGTTCCACCAGGAACAAATGACTGAGTCTTGGGGTTGAAGGCATGGTTCCTGTTGTAGCTACCGGGGATTGGGTGCTGGCTTTTTGGGTCATTAGGATTGGCATTGACGGGGAGTTGTCCATATGCATACGGAATTCCAACTTGAGTCGGTCCTGATGGTGGTGCAGGCGCTCGAGATGGGTACGAGGGCTGGTTATACCCTGGCTGTGCCCAAACTTGCTGCGGCGCAGCACCAGGGGGAACAGGAGCACCGTAAGTTGTCATAGGACTACCACTAGACGGGAAGCGCTGTTGGGGGTGTTGGGGAGGATATTGCTGGGGAGGTTGTTAGCACCGAGTCTCAAAAGGAAGCGGAGGATGAAGTCGCTCAGGTTTCATCCGATGAGGGTTGCATACTTGTGGCATGCCGTACCCGGAGTAGGTTGTGTTGGGTGCCATGGCGGGCACACCGGCATAATTGGCGGCTTGCTGACTGTACGCGAGGGGACCTTGGGCAGGGTACGATGTCTGAGGCTGGGGAGTAAACTGTCCCGCCGCTGAAGGGATATATTGTCCCTGAGACTGAGGTACCCATGTCTGTTGTTGAGGGCCCCAATAAGGGGTATACTGATTTCGGGAATCGAAACTATCTGAATCGTCTCGCCGTTGTTTGCCAGACTTGCCTCTCTTGGTACCTCCTGTCCTGTTGCTAGCAGAGACTGAGCTCGTGCGAGACATGCCAGTTGCACCGTCGTTTTCTATATCCATCCGTAAGTAGGCTGTCTCCTTTTTGAGGAGTCAAAAAACTCTGCATGTTGCTTACCTGGAATACTATCTTCTGAACTACCGAAAATACGCTCACGAGCCAACTTGTAGGCCTCCTCGCGTTCTTCGCGCGAAAGTCTGTTGCATGAAAGCAGTTAACATCCACGTGATCTCGGCTAAAAGCAAGGTTTCACCTACTTTTGGTTTGCGGCTAGCTTGGCATCTTTGACCTCACTTCCTGACTCTGATGTAGGCTTTGACGCATTAGCACTCACTAGACCCTCATCGTCCTGACCACGCCGCATGATCTTCCTGGGCAGGACTGCGGGTGGCGGTGTGCTGCTTGAAGATGGGTTGGATTGAGGGGTCATGGTAGCCAACGAGGGCGGGACACGACAGAAGGGGGTTCTGAAGATCCGGACCGAGCCAATGTGAGGCTCATAAGAATGAGTCATGTGATAGTAGTCGGCCAGTTTATGTGTCAGCATTCTACAAAATGAATTGGACGGCGGCAAGTCCATGTAGGGCTCCCTGTGAAGCCTGTCAGCTGTGTCCGGTTGCGGTCTTTGTAGAGTGGACATTGAACTTACTTGGAGTCTTGCACAAAATCAATCACGTCTTTCTCAAGTCGAAGTAAGAAATATCGATCCCTTGGACTTGCTAAAGCATCCAGAAGCTTTTCATCCGGAGCCTGCCGGTATATGACATTCAAGGCATCGGGCGATCCATCTGCATTCGAGGGTACAGGTGCAGCCAGGGGTTGACCGCGTTCGGATGGGGCGCTCTGCGGCGTGAGAATACCATGAGAAGGCACGCCCATCGCTGCATGGGCCGCCTTTCGCCCAGCTAAGTCCCCTGATGACATCCCCTTGTTCCTGAGGGCCACATCTGAACTCATTCGAGACCCAGCGACCAGCGAGCCACGAACAGAAAAGTTGTCATCGTCTTCCGCGGCAGCCTGAACACTGGCGCTGTCGTCAGGACGTAGGGACTCTTTTTCATCAAGCGCAAATGTCGTTCCAGACGTGATGCTCTTCCCATCCAAGCTTGGTGGCTTCGTGCCTAATTCTGAACTAGAATCGCATTTCTGTGAATCGTCTGAGCCACTATCTTTGCCTGGGTTGGCTCGTCGGGGCTCTGATTCCGACACCGAGCAACGTCCATCGACAACTAGACTGGGAACTTTTGATGCGATGCTGAGGTCATGGAGAGATGAGGCAATGACAGCAATACCATTGGACTTGGACGCTGTGGCTCGTTTGCTCTCGGGACTAGAGGAGCCGTCGGCAATGACGGCCGTCATAGGAGCATTTGAATCAATTTTGGCGACGGGAGCTGTCGGCGCAGTTTCTTTTGTGACAGTGGCCGTAACCTAAATCGCACGTGTGAAGTCAGCCGAGGGTTAGACGGTGTTGCGGACTAGACGCTTTCACATACCTTGGCAAACGACGGTTTGGGCATATCTGCAGAGATCTGCGCAGTCGCCATGATATGCGAGAGAGGAAAAACAATAAGGGTTGGAATATCCAACACAAGGCAACGCTGACAGATGGTGGTGGTGGTGGAGGTAATGAAGGCGACACCCAAGGATTATCTTCAGACAGCGCTCGTCGTCGAGGCTGGGTCAGAGGAGAATCGCAATTGGCAGACCAAGATGACAGGAAGTGACAGGAATAAAATCGAAATCAAAAAGCAGAATCGATCGACACGGAACAGCGGACAAAATTCAGAGTGGTGGTAATCATCGTCGAAACAAAATACGCATTGCTCCTAGTTGTTGAGGCTCGGTCGGGTAGCAGAGAGCGCCGGAGGATTGTCGCAGCGCAATGACGGTAGACTCCTTGGCAAGCGGGCCCAAAAGTAGCTTGGAGGGCGGCCGAAAAACCATGCAAGCACCAGAATGTTGTTCAGGGACGGGTGCAATGTCGAAGAAGAGCGATGCGAGGTCGTTGGAGGGGAGGTTTTGAGGGTCCAAAGTCGACTGTGGGGTCTCGACTTGAGCGCTGGCGCTGGCGGCGCAGGGCGGACAGCGGACGGCGGACGGCAGAGAGGGAGGCAGGCCAAAACTGTCAGAGCACACCAGTGGAGCTGTGCGGCCTGTTCAGTCCCAAAATGCTGGCGGTTGGTTGGTCGTACAGAGAGGGCTTCAAGCCGATGTCATGGGTCGACCCGACAAAGGTAGTCCTGGACCAAGAGGAAAACCGAACAGAATAAAAGAGAGACGATATGAGGCCGTCTACTCAAGCGTTCAAAAGTGCATTCAAAGCTTGAGGCGAGCGAGTCAGCTTCAGAATATTTCCGTGCTGACTGATGCCGGGCGGAAAATAACCTGTTGGTCGATTCCTCAGAGTGATGAATACCCACCATTTGGCCGCCGCGAGCTCGCTGACTAAGGCCCCTGGCTACGTTCCCGGGTAGGTAGCCTGAGCGCAAATACAAGGCTTGTCTCATCCAAAGTCTATACCGGCGAATCACAAATTGTCCACGGTGGTGTCCCATGTCACGTGACTCCGACCGTGGCACCAGTGATCCATCGCTCCGTACTACCATTTGAGCAGTAACAAGCTCAGACTGCATACGGAGTAGCATACACCCCTACTTTTCTTTGATACTGATACTCATTTTTGGATAAATTGCTACCCCTTGTTCAAAGTGGCACTCAAAATCTCAAATCGAAGGTGCGATTCGAAATGTTTACATACAGGGGGCGAGGCGGTCCCTCTCGCTCAACCCCAGCCAGTGTTCAATGCCAAAAATGTCTGAAACGAGATATGTCAACTCGAATCCAACTTATCAAGGCTGGGAATCCTAACAATCCTAGCACGGCATTATTCCTACGAGTGTAACAGCTCAACACAAGAACGTCCATATGTATCTCGCCCGTCAAGGTCACAACAGCTCCGCAACCCAAAGTTGGTCCCAAAGCTCACGAGTGACACGCCAAACCCTCTGGAAAAGAAGTTTGTGACATTCCTTGGCACTGAAAGCTCCTGAAAACCAAAAGCTAAGAATCGTACAGAGCTGGTGTTGCAGATGAGGTGCTGCAGAAGAGGGAGGCAGAGCGCGCCAAACAACAGGACGCTGAGGAATCTGATAAAGAGAGCCTGCCGCCATCCCCCAAGCGTCGCAGATCAGCATCATCCGGATATGTTTCCCCGATTTCAACACATGAATCGACGCACTCTCGCTCCCCAAGGCGCCGCTCTAGATCCCCCTCTGTGCGGAGGCTACGAGACAACTCCCATTTTGACAAAGACAAAGGCAGACAAACTCATGAGCCAACTTTGAGTCGTGGCCCGCCCCCCACTAAACGGACTAGGCGCTCTCCATCGAGAGATAGACTTTCACCGAGGAATGAGCCCCAGAAACACCGTTACCGAGACCATAGGAGTCCAGAGTACGAGGAATGCCTGCCAAGGAGGTCTCGCCATCACAGTCCACAGCGCTATGATGACAGGGAACCCTACGCTTCAAATTTACTAGGGTCACATGAGAGACAGAGGACCCGTGAGCAGGATGACAGGTCACGGCACAGCAATCGTGGCAGGGCGAGAGATGCTGAAGCGCCTCGACGGCGTAGTCTCAGCCCCTTTAGTCGGAGGCTAGCAATGACGCAGTCTATGAACCGTGGAGGAAGGTAAAGGGTATCATATGCTGTATTCGCCTTTGCAACTACATAACAAAAACCATGTTGCTTGAATACCCGCCGATGCAAACTCCAGTCGAAATATTGTAAACAAGCATAGATGTGCAGCCTCTACAGCGGCTCAGGCCAGCAGAGCTTCGTTCTCTGCTCGCTCCCTCCTCTCTTCCTCCTCTTCTTCCTGTTCCCTGACCCTCAATCCCTCTACGAGAGCAACGCCATCCATGCCGACAGCGTCCCCGTCAACCTTTGCGCTGCCCAGAGCGGCGGCATCTGTAGCTGCCTTTTGAGCTCCAGAGATCCTCTCCCGAACCAGCCGAGCTATGGCATTATCTGTCCGAACAGTCAGAATATCCATCTTAGCTTCCAAGTTCCGTTTCAGATCCCAATTTGGTTTTTTCGGTTGCAGCTTAAACAAATCAAGCCCCTTATCATTCTGTGCCTCTTCGGTCGCATGCTGCTTGACTTGCGCCTCGACATCTGCAGCTTGCTCCTCTAGAGTAGGTTTATCCAGGCCCTCGTTTGGCGCTTGGTCGAATCCAAGCTTGGGGCCTTTCGTTTCTGGATCATAGTTGCGTCCTGAAAGATGTAGACGCGAGACGTCTGCGTCTGGAGTGACAGAGGGTGGGATTTTGGTTTCTCCTGTGGCACCCTCGTCGTTGTCGTCGGGCTTCTTTCGTTTCAGGTTTCTGAGGGCAGCGAGGCGCGACTTGCGGTCTTCAGACGCGGCGCTCAAGCTGTGTTGGGAGGATGACATGGCGCGCAGCACTAGAGGTATGGAAGAAGTGTTTCAATGCGCGACGACAGGTTGGAGAAGTTGCTTTGCAACTTAGTGATGAAGGTCTAGTGGGGCGGCGATCATCGAAAAGATGAAGGGACTTCGAGCCGCGAGTTTGCCGCCGCCGCGGCTAATTAGGCGCAGCGCTCTGCTCCGGGGGCCCGCGCGTCGGCAATGCAGCCTTCGACCTGCGCTCATAGCCTTTTCTGGCAGCTAGCTACCTTTCTGCATGCGTCGCGATCTAATTCGGAGCCAACAACCTTCCGAAGCTCCTGCCACTATGAATGATTCTAACCAGAAATAAGTGCCTCGACAAAAGATGCGAACGGCGTGCCGGCTCAACCGTATCAGCTGGGCCCGATTCGGCAACGCGCCTCGACCACTGCCAAACCCTCCAACAGCACCAGACATGGCACAGCGGCGTCTTCTCTCAAATTGCTTTCAAAGACTTTCGCCGACTGTACAATCGAGAGACTCGACAGCTCGAACGCAACATGACGATGCGTTCCAGGCCGCCTTCATGTGCCGCCACGTGGATCGTACAACCCCTAGATCGAAACTCGACAACGCAACATCAGACTTTGCCTCTGCAGGGGGACGAAAACGCAAGGTCGGCTCTGCTACACGTGCCAAACAACCGTACTCAAACGATATAGATTACGACGGCCACACATCACGCTTCCGGACGAAACCAGCGAATCCAGATACATCGAACCGACGAAAATATGGCAGCCGTAGGTTAGGCCCGATGCGTGAGCGAGATATGTACGTACAATGGGGCTACATTCGTCATCAGTTCTCCGGTGATGAGCTGCTCAAGAGGCGGAAGACCTTCAATTCGTGGAAAAGACACTTGTATAACGTTAGCCACAATCGCAAACAGGTTTGGCCATGGCAAGACGAGAGCTTATGGCTCCTAGAACACAAGACTGTTTCAGACATGCGATCAGCTTGGCAAGAACTAGACCATCAGTCTCGAGAGAAACAGTGGCCACGGATCATGCTCTCCACGATGCGCGCTTGTCCAGAGAAGGCGGCCATGGTCCTGGAAGCTACACTGGACCCCTGGCCTCCCGGGTACGCCATCAGCGATGTTTTACTATTTATCATTCAAAGACTAGACCTTGCAAAGGAGAAAAACGTTCGCGAAAGAACTCTGAAAGCTGAGCAGGTAGTGGGTTTGCTCCACAAGGCGATAGCGGACAGTCCCAAACAACACATTCCATTCAGTCAAAGACTCTTGGGGTTATTCGCCAAGAAACTTCCGAGCGAACAAACTTCTGAGCTACTTGCTCTTCTTCGGCAGTCCGAAATCAATATGCATGCGAATACAATGATACAGTTTGCCAGCAGCTTAGCTAGAGACCCGGCCCACAAACAAACTGCCTTTGAGATACTCCAGGGATTATCGGACAGCGGCGCTGATCTGAACGAGGCCCGCCCATCAAGCGTCATCACCTCGCTACTTCACTGTCAGGTACCCGACGGGGTAGGATCGGTCCAAAACCCCTTCTCTCCAAACGATGCACTGGTGTATTTTATAGAAAGGGGCTTCACGTTGAACCTGCTTAGCGCGACAGCCTACCTCGATACCCTTTCCCAGCAAGGAGAGGTTGACGAGGCAATACGGCTTGCATTGCTCTTCTCCGAGAGTGGCGTTCAGTTGGACCACAAGGCCTGGGCAATCGTGTTCAGAGGAGCAAAAGCTACTCGGAAAGTTGAGACTGTTGCCAAGGCGCTGGACGTGGCCAAAGTGGCAGATGTCCCGATTGTAGAGGTTCTGAACAACGCACTTCACAGCGCTTTTCATTTTGCCGAGACGGAAGCGATGGAGAGGAAGAGCCAGCCCCGGTCTGCCCCAAGTCTTTTCGGGATTCTGCTACGCATCTACGCCAAGAAGTTCGACCTCGAACCGCTTCAGTGGTGGTTGCCAGAGTCTCTGCCGTTATATCTAGCACGAGGTGCGGGCCAGCACGGCCTCGTCTCGGGCGGTGCAACACGAACGATATGGCGTTTTGAAACCACCATTATCCCATTTGTCGATCAACTGTTCTCGTCGGGAGATGACACAAAGTTCCAGCCAAACTTGACGACCATGGCCATCATGATGCGAGCGTATATCATGGGACTGCAGCAGCCCTACGACCTAATGGCGTATTACCAGTTTTTCAAGTCGAGACTGGAAGAGCAGGGCAAGGACGCTTCTATACCATCGGCATCCCGGCTAATACAGAATCAAGGCAGCCTCATACACGACACCTTCATCTTCGCAATGACGGAGCGCAGGGAACTATCACGGACCGCTCTTCTGGTTTTCGGCGACATGCTCAAGGACCAGCTGCACGCGAATGGCGCAGACGGTGAAGGGGTACACGTGGGAAGCGACGGGGTGGTTGCGACGACGCCGGTCCACCCGGCACCGACGGTGTTGACGGTGACAACCTTGCTACGGGGCCTGATGAACCACCACGACCGGACGCTGGTGAATAAGATCATTCACGTCATGCGCGAGAACGGTATTCAGCCCAACTTGGCGACGTGGAACACCCTGGTGAGAGGATACGCGACCATGCAAGATGTTCCCAAGACAGTGAGCACGCTGCAGGACATGGAGGCGGCAGGGTTCAAGCCTGATTCCTACACGTTCAGGGCGTTTTCGAAACTGAGGGACCAGGAGAGAGCGCTCCAGATGATGGAGGACATGATTGAAGTCAGCCAGGACGTGATGGCGCAGGACGAGCTGCAGAAGTAGCAAGCCAAATCCGTGTGTATTATCCGGACGATGCTGCAAACACTCGATGCCGCGCGGAATGGGGCAGCGGAATGTACCACGTGTAAAGTCAACACCGCGACGTATGATGATGATAGGTACAAAATATTCAGATGCAAGTTTGCGTCATTATACTGTGCATCATCGCCAGCCATGACCATGGGAGGCGTCCATCCTCTTCTGGAGTGCTGCAGCAAACGTCTCGACCTCGCATCTACTCAAAGACCCAAAGGCCCTTGGAGCCGCCTAATCCTCGACGTGAAGACCGCGCGCATCAACCTGCCAAATTCTCTGCTACCTCCCGAAGCCAGAGCCAAGGCTCACTCCTCCGTCCCCCCGCACAACTGACGACTGGCTTCCGCACCGACGACGACGCACACCGCACACCGCACACCGCACACCGCACAAGGAGGACTCGGGACAGCGTCCCGTCCATGGCGATGGAACGAGGTCGCGCCCAGCCTTCCGTCGCGGCAGGACGCCGAGAGACTGGCGGCCATGAGCCGACTTCGCGGCGCGGTCCATCGCCCTGCCGTACCTGCACGTCCATCAGCTCCGCCTGTCGACCTCTCCTGGGAGACCATGCCCTTCTCCGTGTGGGCGTTTGGCTCGACCGTTGCGCACACGAGGTCGACCACACACCTGGCAACATCCGCGATGTCGTCTTCCACCCCCTCGTGGCCGTGACAGTCGGGACGCCGCACTCGGGCCGTGTCTCAAGCCTCGGTCCATTGCGGAAACGGCACTCACCGACGACGACGACGACGACGACGACGACGACGACCCCACGACGCACCGCCCCGAGTAACCACGACGTCGAGCTTGGTCTGGGCCATGCGGCCGGCGGCCAGCCCGTACACACGACGGACAGACACACGGCTGCGAGCCTGACGTGCCACCACCTCCTCCTCATGCCTCACGGCAGCCACCACGGTCCTGTGCATTGATCTAGGCGAGGCCGCGCGGATCGCAACCACGTACGGACTGCGTACATCCCCATCCCCCTCCCCCTCCGCGACCTCCACCTGAACCGCGTGTCCCGACATTCGCAGCCCGCGGCACACGTCGTCTCGCATCCAGCTCCTCCGCTCAACCCACGCATCCCAGGTCCAGCAAGCGCTCCTGAACACGGTCAGCACTCAACACAACCACCATCAAGTGGCCCCCTCCCGCCTCCCCAACCCGCAGCTCTCTCCGATGCAAGCAAGCGCCCCCCATGTGCCCCGGAACCATGGACATCGTCTCCAGAAGGGAGGAACCCAAACGGCCACGACTCAGACACAGTCCCCTGGGTCCCGCGTGCGCTTACCCCTCGCCCGTATCAAACATGGCCCGACTGGCTAAGCCTGCCCTGCCCTGCCCTGCCCTGCGCTCCCCAGACCAGTACCGCCGCATGAACCACAGCCCTCGGCCAAGCAGGCATGCCACAGCCTCGAGTCGCCATCAGTCATGCACCGCAACACACACACGAGACACGAGAGACGACTCGACAGGCCCGGACTGAGGCGCAGCGCAGCCTTGTTCCCCCAGAATGCAACATACGCACCTGCTTGCTTCACTCTCACACGACGTCAGCCCTCGTACAGTACAGTGCTACCCCCCAGAGGAAAATAGAAAGGCGGTCTGCGAGATTCAAGCAGATTCATCACGCTCATCACGTCTGACGCGGCTGGTTGCGCGGACGGCCCACGAGTCCAAGCAGGTTGGCACCCCAGGGCACACGCCCTCGGTCCTTTTCCCCAGGTCTATCTTCTCTCCGGCGCAGCGGGCCACCTCAGCCGGTCAAGTCTGCAGGTTCCGTCCATTTTCTGCGCGAGGTCCTCCGGTGCGGGTGCGCCCTGGACGGGCTCGGCTCCCATTACGATTCAAGGCCCAAGGGGACAGCACAGCGACACCCGCTCGTCACAACCGGCCAATGTTTCAATTTGCTCACCAACACCGGGTATCTATCTGTCTGGGTGTCTGCTCGCATCGAAGCGTCATTAGCCTGGAAGGCGGACTTGGGCCGGGAGATGCCACGGGAACAGAAAGGCCTGAAGGGAGGGGGGACCTTGTCCTAGTGACACAGCTACAGAGGGCTGAATCTATGAAACCAGCCAACCATTTTCCCGGTGCTGAAAACGCTTCATGAACCCTTCGCCACGGCGAAATCTAAACTGCGCTTCACTCCGTCGGCTCGATTGCGGTACCGGCTCTTGGACCGTGCAATCCTATCAACTGTCGTCCGTCCTAGAATCGCACATTTAAAGGAAAATGATAATGACACTTTTTTGTTCCTCAATAATGGAGTGCATCCAGCCCGATATGGAAGCTGTATTAGTTGCTAAGACAAGGCCATGCTCAACTGCTGGATCAAAATCAGGGCAGACAATATTGTACAGGAAAAGTATGTCGGTCGTACACCTGGGTATCATGACACGAGATATGGCAAAGCAAAATAGAGAAATCAAAGCAACAGAACAAAGGACAACACGGGCTGCTGTCAGGGCCACTCGAACTATGGTGCTATTCCTATTCCTCGTAGTACACGAGCCGGGTTGCCAGCAACGACCGTAAAGGGCGGGACATCCTTCACTGAGGGTTAGTTCCTAAGCTTGCGAGAAGAAGGAGGCATCTTGCGAACAGACCTTTGTGACAATGGATCCAGCCCCGACGGTGCTTCCTTTCCCAATGGTTCGACCGGGTAAAATAATGGCGCCGCCACCGATCCAGCAATCTTGCTCGATGGTGATTCCACGTCCAAATTGGGGTCCCTGGCCGCCCAGACGCTTCTTGGGGTCAATGGGCAATGAGGCTGTAAATATGCTGACGTTGGGTCCGATGACACAGTTGTCTCCTATTTTGACCTCGCAGACATCGTTGATGGTGCAGTTCCTTCCAATTACGACGTGGTGGCCAATCGAGATGTTGTAGCCGTAGTCACAGGTGAATGGCGTCTCGACAGCGACATGTCGACCAACGCGGCCCACATTGGTGACCGGAGATGCTTCCGTGGGAGACACGCGCACAGGGTCTCGGGGTTGCAGTATTTCTAAAAAGAGGCGCGCTCGTTCGTCGGGCGATACACCATTTGTTGGTGGTGTGGTCAGGTTGTTGAACCGCCAACACGCGGCTGCACAGCGTTCTCGTTCTAGGCACAGCTCCTTGTCAAAGGGATAGTAGTGCCGTCCAGACAGCATCTCTTCCTTCTGAGTTCTCCGCTGGGGATACTGTGAGTGGGACAAGGCCAACTGCGCAGCAACCTGGGCGCTTGACGAAGACTGCTGAGGATGTGGCGTTGGACTACTCGTACGGGTTGGGTGTAGAATATTGATCTGCGGTAGATGGTTGCCCGGATGCGGCGTCTCCGGTTCATTTCCTCTGTTGAGATCATGCAACGGTGGTACTCGTTGGTATTCTTTGGGCATCCTTTCTCCGAACGGGGCAGGTTGCGTGTTAGCGCTGACCGGTGTGGGAAAGACATTGCCAGGAGTATACGCAAGTGCAGATAATTTATTCTCTGGGCTTGTGGCAGACGCGCTTGTCATTGTTGGTATTGCCGGTGCTGTTGGTCGGTCGTCCTCCGTGGCCACCAGAGGCCGGCTCTGAGGGGGGTCTATGCGAAGGATCTGGCCACGATAATGGGGAAGCGGCTCCCGTTTTACGGGTTGCGGCCCATATGTGCCATGCTGCGGCATGCCGTACGCTCCAGGAGGAACATACGACGGGTCCTTTGACTCGAGGGGCACAGCAGGTGTTTTCGCGTCTTGTTTTGGCCATCCGGTCCCCCGCTGTGGTGGGTATCCCGCGCAAAGGAATCCTCCCCGGATACAATTGCTGCCTGTGTTTCTTTTGTTAGTTCTCCGGTGGTCCGGACGTGTAAAGGGGGGGGGGGGGTTGTTGTCAAGCACGGTACGGCCCTTACATTCAGGCTTCTGCTCATCGCACTTCTTCTTTCTTTTGCGACATGTCAGACAACCAGTTTTAGTTCGATTGCTGAAGTTTCTCTTCCGCTTTTTGGGGTCATGTTGGACAACGGACTCCGATCTGTGCTCAGTGCCATAAGGACTTCCATACGTGCCGCCGGACCGGTCTTCTGCATCGGGGCTGGTGTTGCCGTAGTCACTGTGATCCACCTGAGCAGTGGCTTTCCGGAGAGCATCGCCAATCTGTTCTTCAGTCTGCCCACGTGGAGACGTTGCCGAATTTTGCCGTGAACCATATCCGTTTCTCTCTTCCCGTGACGGCTCTTGGCTTTTCCATGAGGTGTCCTTCTCTGTTTGATCGTCGCTGTAGTGTCTGCTTTCCCGCTGAGGCGTATCGCACGCCTCCCGAGACTCATTGTGAGATCCACCGGATGATTCCTCTGGAGTACACTCGTGAGCTCTGCCGTCGCGTCTGAGCTCGGCGGAGCTCGACCGCTTGCGCTTGTGCTGGCCGTCCCCTTCCGAATACTTGATTGTCGGAAGGGGTTGGCGATCCGTGGTACGTGCCTTCCAGGCGTCACTGCGACTGGAATGAATTTCTGGTGACTTGTGTCGATAAGTTTTGCTTGGCGCCGGCGCTCGTTCATCCGAGGAAAATGTCCTCTCTGAGCTCTCCGTAGGTGGTCCAGTTGCCTTGGGAGAGCCTCCGTTCAAGGCTGTAAAGGTGGACATGGCAGTCACAGCTAGGTTCCGAGATGGCGAGCCTGAGTCGAGGTATTATATTGTGGTACAGACTGGACAGGGAAGACTGGCCAGTAGGTGGCAGGCAGTCGATCTGGAAGCTGTGTAGTGCCAAGTGCCTGGGTGCTGATCTAGTGATAACCAAGGTGCGGGCTCGCACTTCGCATGACTCCTCGGGGTCCAGCCCACGGCTCGGTTGAAATATGAGCAGAGGGCGTTTTGCGCTTATAGTTCTCCGTGGCCGCCCAGTCGCGCCTTCAACACCAAAATCACAAACACCGCTGCCTTGTCGCAGCTTGACAGCTTTGCCCATAGACCCCCGATGCGGTAGCTGGTGGCTGGTGTAACGGAACGGAGCAGCTTTGGATTAGTGCCACGGTTGGTTTGATTGCATTGCTCGAGCCGAAGTTGGGAGGGTTGGCAGCACAGGTGAGGAAATTCTCGGCAAAGTGATGAAGAAGCTTTTTGATCGGAGGCAATCTGCACAACGAAAACGAGGGACGAAGCGCGAGGCGTGAGGCGAGAGGCGAGAGGCGAGAGGCGGGCGGTGTAAAAGCGGCTTGTCAGGCTTTACGTGGTTGTGCGGGGGGGAGACGTCAAGTTCGCAAGCTCGTGGGATAGCACAATGACTGGGGCGACCATGAACACGAAGGAGGAATGAGACGGAGAGATGGGCGTGCGGCGTCGTTGCAGGCAAGGGATGGAGAGGACAGGAGGTGGGAGGTAGGAGGTGAAGAAGCAGAGGTGTAGATGGAGAGGTTTGAAGCCGGGGGGCACTTTGATCAGGACCAAGGACAAAGGCGAGACAGATGACAGACGGAGGTGCTAGTGATGAGCCAACGTCTAACAAAATGCCAAGGTCAACGGTGCAAATCCCAAAGGCGCAAGGTTGGTTTAGCCGTTGCTTTTGAGGAAAGTACCACTCGCACGCAGCTTCCTCGAGGACCCCGGCAGGCCCGCGTGCGTGTGGTGCGCTTGAGCACACCAGACTCGACGCAGACGGGCCCGTTGCTCGCACACGCACACGCACACGCACACGCACACGCGCAGCCTCAGTCAGGGAGATGGGCAAATCAACCAGATGAGACGGATTGGGCCTTCTCGGGTACGGAGTACGACCAAGGTACTCCGTACTTTCTGTCGCCAAGGGCACGGAGCCGTACAAGGGCCCGCTCGCAAGGCGTCAGTCAGTTGGCGGCGTCGCCTTTGGCCTTTGGCGGAGCGGAAGGGCGGAAGAGCTGAAGGGCAGAAGAAGCGACAACCAGAGGCGTGGGACATGGGCATGGACCGACGTGGACGTGGACGTGGACGTGGACGTTGGCGTGGGACTTGGGACTTGGGGCGTGGCAGCACGGAGCGCGACAACAAAGCATGGGTTTGCGACTCTGCGACAAGACTAGTAGCTGTGCGCACCCCAGAACTGCCCCTGGGTCCCGGCGTCGCCCTGGTCACAATCCCGAAGCCAGCTCGAGGCCTGGAGGGCAGGCCAGCATCGGAAGCTCCATTACCCCAGCAACTCGGTGGCCGTCCACATGACGCTCGGCTTCGGCGAGACGTTCGTCTACCTCAATCTCCTGTACTACGTGAGGTAAGAATCCCCTTCCCACAGCGGTAGCGGTCGACGGGGCTCCCAACTTGCCGCCGCCGCCCCTGCTTACGCCTTGTCAGCACCCTCATGCTTCACCGCGAGTACTTCCCCTTCCTGCCGACCCCGGAGTCGGAGCCACGGGGTCCAGTCGACCAGCCCATGCTGGGGGCGCCCGCCCCCGAGGGCTGGTGGGACGACAGCTCCCGACTCCTCTTCGGCGCGGCAGAGCACATCGCCGCCATTCTACACGAGGCCTCCGAGTGTGGCGTGCATCTCATGACGCCCTTTGCCGGGTTCTGCGCATTCTCAGCCGGCTACCTCAACCTCTACGTGGCGAAATACCCCCGAATGAACCTGGGCCGCAGCCCGCGAGCAAGCGACTGTCTCAAAATGTGTCTCGACTACCTGGAAAAGTTTCGACTTGTCTGGAAAATCGCCGACGGATGGGTAAGCCGCCCGCAAGCATGACACGACCGTGGCCACCGTTGCGCTAACATTGAGAGGGCGGCACGCGCAAGATCAAAACGATACACCATGCATCCGTGCTCTACGAGCGAGCAACCGAGGACCGGACACGATACCAGGGGCGCACACGAGCAGACTTTGATACTCTACACCAGTCTGTCCACGAGTTCCGTGTCGTGGATAGATCCGACGCGCATACTCGGGAGATTCGGGGCGCGGAGCGGCCCTCGGCGCAGGCGACTTGGCCGGTTCAAGGGCACGAGCACGAGCACGAGCACGAGCACGAGCTCGACACTAATACCTTGTTGAACCAGCTTTTCGCGGAAGTCAGCAATAACCTCGACGAGCAGGGGGCCTGGTCTCAATGGTGGCCGGCGATTGATCAGGTGGATCTTTAATGAGCTGCGTAATTACATCCGGGGTTTTTTTTTTCGTTGAAGCTTCCAATGAATGAGTGACGACCTTTGATTTTTTTGATTTTTTTTTTAAAAAGGGCTGTAATATCTGGTTTTCTATACATGTCCTATTTTTATTTCCCGGTCTAGAAAAACAGTCAACAGATAATGCACCTCTTCATATGGCTCCCCTCCCGTCACCGCCAACAAATGCATACCTGTCGCGTCAACCATTCGCCGTTTCTCCTTCCAATCACGCCTTTGCAAAGACCTTTCTCGAGTTCATCAGGCGAACAGCAAGCATAAAGAGCATGCCGACAAAAGGCGCCACAACCACGCCAAGAGGACGTTTTTTGAAGCAGCTAAAAAGGCACGTAAATGGCGTCTGGATTCTGTACTAGATCTACTAGAAATTTGGGACGAGAAGGGTGTACATTATAGGCGAAGAGGTTAATAGCGTTATTAGGTTGAAAATTGGCCCGCCTTGGTGTCCGGCCCGCCTTGCTGTCGAGCACCACCTTTGGTGGTGAGGGCTTTTGCTAGCCGAACCACATAAAGTGGGGCGGGCACGATTAGTTGACTGGTTCTCCGTAGTGGCTACGGGACGAGAGGACGGAGTGACAAAGCAACAGAGTGACAGTGACAGGCAAGTGACGGTGACATTGACAATGACGGAGCGACCAGACAGACTGTGGAGGGTTGGAAATTGAGACACCGGCAGGGCGCCGCGGAGATCGCTAAGCCCGGAACCCGCGCTTTTCCTCGCTAGTCTGGCGGCGGCGCACAATTCTGCCCTTTATCATCTACTGCCCGTCGCCTGTTCAATGTTGCCTCAATGTTCGACGCCCGCGCACCGCTTTCCGTTTTGCCCTCCCCAGTGGTCCAGTGCTCCAGTGCTACCTGCCCCGGCCCGTCTACAGACGACATCGCACCCTGGCTGGGCTGGCTGGCCCCTCCCAGGCGTCGGGCGGCATGGCGCTTGGGACGGGGCCGCGGATGGGAGCGGGGGCATGGAGCCCGCAAAGGGGCGTGTCGCGGACACGGCTCATTGTGCACAGGACCCAAACTGACTCCCGACTGCTCGACGAGCTGCCTGGGTACCTCGAGCAGGTAGTTCGTCGTTTCTCATGCATGCTGCAGTGGTTGCAATACCTCGCATCTGTCCTTTGTGAACTGGACAGAGCAGGTACACGGTACAGAGTACAGATTACGGCACAGAGCAAGTCGAGGACGCACTCGAGCAAGGGGTGTGGGTAGCCTTCGACGTCGGCAACGGGGGTGTGCATGTAGTGCTGGCCGTCTTCAAGTACCTAGGTACGAAGCACCTGACGTAGGTAACCTACCTGGGGCTACTCCGTGCACATGGTCTGTTTGTGCTCCGTAACAATCAATAAAATCAAAACCATCTCATGTCAAGCATGCAATGTCGAGCTTGACTCTTCCGCCACCATCTATGGGGAATGATGAGCCTGCTTTGAGGACACTCAACGACACCGGCTGCGGCAATGTTACCACCATCCACTCCGTAGATACGATACATATGTACTCTATGTCCACGACAACACGGCATCTAGCATCCAGCATCCAGCATCCAGCATCCAGCATCCAGCATCCAGCATCCAGCATCCAGCATCCAGCATCCAGCATCCAGCATCCAGCATCCAGCATCCAGCATCCAGCATCCAGCATCCAGCATCCAGCATCCAGCATCCAGCATCCAGCATCCAGCATCCAGCATCCAGCATCCAGCATCCAGCATCCAGCATCCAGCATCCAGCATCCAGCATCCAGCATCCAGCATCCAGCATCCAGCATCCAGCATCCAGCATCCAGCATCCAGCATCCAGCATCCAGCATCCAGCATCCAGCATCCAGCATCCAGCATCCAGCATCCAGCATCCAGCATCCAGCATCCAGCATCCAGCATCCAGCATCCAGCATCCAGCATCCAGCATCCAGCATCCAGCATCCAGCATCCAGCATCCAGCATCCAGCATCCAGCATCCAGCATCCAGCATCCAGCATCCAGCATCCAGCATCCAGCATCCAGCATCCAGCATCCAGCATCCAGCATCCAGCATCCAGCATCCAGCATCCAGCATCCAGCATCCAGCATCCAGCATCCAGCATCCAGCATCCAGAATGCTCGGTACCACCCGAACCCATGTTGTATGCTGTGTGTCGACCGGCCGGCACACTGCTTGTGTGTAGTGCCAGAGGTCCATTCCAAAAAAAAAAAAAAAAAGGAAAAGGAAAAGGAAAAGGAAGAGGAAAAGGGAATAAACACCCCCCAGGCATGATTCCAGCGTCGAATGTACTCCGTAGCGAGTAGCATGTTGAACTGCATCATAATCGGCTCGTACGCCCAACTTGCTCCGTGTCCTGTGCTTCGCAACTCACAAGCAAATGCCAGTCGGAGTACCTGTTGTGCCACCTCTGTGTTACTCCATGTTGCCATGACCCATGAGACCCGTCCGGGCGTTTCAATCTTGGTCCAACCGCGGCAGACCTATAATTGATTCAATCCATGGCCAAGAAACAGTGGCAGCCGGAAACAACACTATTATAAGTACGCTGTTCCATCATCATCAATCAAGCTTCTGCTGTGGCAGATGAGAGATGCGGATCTTTCTCAATGTCGCTTCTACATAGAGGCTGTGCCCATATCGAGGGTAGGTAGTGCGTATATTGTCTTGTCGGCTAATACTCCATTGTCCATTGAGCTTCGTACCTCCATGTCGCCTCCGTCACATCATCTTGCCCGGCTTCTGTCTGTCTGTAGTCTGTACTATCGATTCCACCATGTCCTGTCCGCCCAGCACGAGTCCCGCCCTCTTGTGTCTCCTCCCTCGCCATGGCCAGTCCTGCCCCTGGCTTCCTATAGGCTGGCAGCCGACTCTATTCGGCGCCGTATGGGACCAAAGGACATTGAAATGGAATTCGGCACTGTGCTGTGCGACGCGCCAGAGGCGAACCAACGGATTAGACTGGATAATCATTTCTCGGCCGAAAGTCGAGCTGACAGTACCCCGAATGCTGCCACCCAACAAAAGAAAAAGTTCGACTTGCAAGACAAGAACGACGAGCAGGGGTAAGTCCGGAAATCTCCTCTCTCGACTCCCGGCCACCCGAGACCCGTCATCCTCATCCTCAGCCCACTGTATTGATTCATCACCGCTTGAATGCTACCATGACAATGAGGACTCCGAACTATAAGAGCGGCAAGCCGGCAGTGGTAGACATGCCAATGTCAGGGAAAGGTCGCTGTCTCGTGAGGGAGCCGTGTGCGAGGAACGCATCTAGTTAATTGGTAACCGAGAAAGCATGGCTGAAGAGGTGGCTGAAGCGGAAGACTGCCGTAGCTGTTAAAGCCAGCGTTCGTCAGCAGGCTCATCCAGGGCGTCAACCAGCTTACGGCCTGGGCGGCTGCAGGGTGCACAGAGAGACTCGGGCTTTGAGATGGTTTGAGCAGTCACGTTTAGTTGAGGACATCAGCGTTTTGGCCCTCGAAGCAGAGCCTGAGGAACGCGGAAACAGGCAAGGTATTGTACGAGGCGAGCCATGGCCCTGACCTGATGTGGGTCCGGGCGTGACCGCAGCAAGAGCTGTTTGCCGCGGCAGGGCCGCCTGGCTGCTGCACCCGCGACTGCCCTCGTTCGATGAACGGCGCGCACACTGATTGGCTCCGCACGGGATAGGCACCTAGGTACTCCGTACGGGGAGCACTCAACAAACTTGATCAATGGCATCGCCGGGTTTGCGGCGCGGGAATTTCAGTCGAGGCAATTGGCCGTCTGTCAAAATAAGTTGAGTGTTTGAAGGCACCAAGCATGCAAACCTGAGCAGCATTGAGGTATTGAGTCAAGTACGTACTGCATACATCGGCACAGTCCGGCATTTTGCCATGCAATCTGGGATTCTGGGCTTGGCAGGGCACGTTATTGATTTGTGCTAATGCTACGGAGTACTCCGAGGTTGCTCGTACCCAGGTACCTCAGTACATCAGATACGTATCGCTTGGCCATGCAATCAGCAAGTACGCGGTTCCGACACAAATCTTGTCACGACTCATAATATTGATCTCTTCTCGCTTCGTGGAGCACACGGTGCCGTCTGCGACTTCATCCCGACGTAATAATTGCATAAACTTGGCCACGCTTTCGGTGTCAAATTGGCCCTGTCGATGCAACCCTACGCAGTTGGCAGGGCGTCGGCTGAGACATCCGAGTCTCCAGAAACCCGAAACCTGGGCCAGCACGATGATGCGACAGTCATATTGCAGAACTAGCGTCACTTTGGATATCATGGGCGCCCATACTCCAACTACCTACAGAGTACCCAGACAAATTATGCTCTCTACTCTGCAGCGGCATATCAATATCTCCTCGAATTGCCAGTCTTGAGCGGTAGGTTGAGTCGCATGCAACTTGACCAATGACAACTAATCAAGAAATTCATTTCCAGGGAAATTAAAACGCTGCCGTCGTCCTTGTTCCTTCAAGAGTCTAATCTGGCCAGCCGAGTAAAGGACTTCGATATCGGCCGATCAACTCAATGCCTTGATGAGCTGTTCATCTTGCTGGGCCAGAAGTTGCACGGCGGAAACCTGCTCGCAGTTCCTGGGGCATAACGTTGCATTTCTCAGCATCCATCGCTCCAAAGTCACAGGCCGTGTTGAACTGTCAGAACCGAACTGTCTAGACGAAATGACATTTTGGATATCCACGGGGCTTAGCTTCCCGTCTCCATGGAGTTGCTATTTTGAGAGCTGGATGCAACCATGACCCACGTCGGACGCGCTGTCGAGCATTGAGTTACAGGCAAACAGGGGAGCGGCTACGATTGCCCTGGAACAGATTTGATTCACTGAAACTGGCTGTTGCTGCCAGATTCCCCATCCATCGCTCTGGTCAAATCAGTCGTTAAACGCATATCCGCCACCTCCAGACGGCTAGTGGCGCCCAAGTCAGTACTGGTCCAGAACCCGCCAATAGGATGTTGAGAACACAGGGAGTGTGAAAGACTGAGCGCCATTAACGCCGCGGCTAACACCGTCTCGTATCGCCGGTCAACGCGGCTGTGCTAAGCCATGCACACAACGAGCAGCCTAAACGGAACGGAACCCAGCCCTCCCTGAGACTGGCTTTGGAGAAGTGTGGAGCTCAGCAAATAATACTTCTGGGAGCACAAACGAAGTCAGCCCAAGGGAGAGTGTCATGTGTCATGGTATTGGAGCACGGTGCCAGAGGTAGCTTCAAGTGACAATATGTTGGTCTCGTCACTAAGCGGCCAGGTCAAGTTACAGACGCAATGTCAATGGCGATCTACAAAAAGGAAGGAGGTGACGGGGTGCAAGACCTTCCGTTGAAAAGCCACCGCAACTAAGTTCAGAAATAAATTGGACACTTGGCAATGCGCGCGATGAGGCAAATTTGTCCAACCGGCTATTCAGGCCAGGGATAGTCTTGCCTCCCGCACAGCCTCGAATTTCCGGCACTTCTCAGCATTGCTCGCCACTCTTGAATCATACAAACCAATGAGCAGAATCGTGTACAAGAAAACCGGTTTCTTCAACCGCCAGGAGGAGTCATCGTTTCACGCAAACCAGCCATGCCGTCGTGAAGCATGTCATCATCACATTCATCATCAGGAATCACTCCAGTCCGCCGACAAGCGCGATGAGCCACCAATCAAGCCTGGGAGGCCGGTAATGTGGCGTCTTTCCCGCCACCGCATATTATACCTTGGACGACCTAAGCGTTGTCTTTGTCGTGATTGGTAGTCTCAGCCCATCTCGTCACACCGGGCTTTCGTCGTGTCAAGCCTCCAAACACGCCAAGCCTGAGCGAAACGTGGGAGCCTGAAACGGACAGTACCCAAAGCCGAATGTACGGAGAACAATTTTTTCAACTGCCGCCTCGTCTAATATTATAGAACTGCGCGTGCGAACTTGATGTGTATATTTCTATCCGCTCAGCATGTTTGCTAGCACGAGCAGCACTATTATTTGGAGCTTTCGGGAACAGAACAGACTGCCGCTAATTCGGCCAAGATATTATCTGTTCCGGAGATGACAAGTTTTGCCCGCGCCGCATCAGCTACGCCTGGGACCCGGTCGCTGGCAACTAGAGTCCATCGTCGGGGACTCTGAAGAAACATAAAATTTGACGTCAAAGCCGTAATGAAAACGGCCCTCCATTTGTCAGGCTAAAGTGTAAAAGTTTCAAAAAGAATGGAGGCGCGACTTGAGTTGCGATCAAACAACAATAGAGGATGCAGCGACGGGGCCCTGAAAGGCACCTCCAATACTACCGTCAACACCGCGTCCGCCGTACTCCAAGAGTCTATCCATACTGCAACAGCAGTAGGAACGGAGGATGCACATGAACCTAATAACTGCTCCGTGCAGCACGCCTTTGGCCCTGCTACACCAGCCGGGTCCCGCCTGGTCCCAACAGTGGCTTCTTACCACCGACTTAGCATCCCGTACCGCATTGTGTGTACGGAGTACAGAGTACGACGTACTGAATGTGATAACAGGGGTCCTATTGCAGTCCGTATCCACCTTGCAACGGTGCCGCGGTTGGGTCGGTTGTGGATTGATTGGAGGGAAGTCGGTTGTGACTGCAGACTGCAAGCGCTGGACGGCGTGTGGTCGTTTGGGGCGGTTCTTGTGCATTGGGCGGCTAGGATAGGAGGCGAAGAGGTAAATATTCCTGCGTGCAAGGTGATCGGAGGGCAGCCATCTTGGGTTCGAGTGTTGTAGGTCAGACAACCCGAATTCGTTTTGCCTTGGTCTTGATCTAGCAGCTTACTACAGGGTTTGGCGCTCCGTACGGCGTATATCAGTGTGAGTACTCGTCTTGTCATCAGGCGCCGGATCGGACATTTCTAACCGGTGAGAAAATAGAAGAAGAGCTTCGCTGTCCTCCCAGCATGATCGACCACAAGCGTTTCCTTCGATACACTGATCACGCACATCAGTGCATTGCGCCGCGTCCTATAAGCTTGTCGGCCAACTTTTTGCGGCATCCTCGGAGTGGATATCCCGAAGGACTGCGGGAAGGCAGAAAACTCCATCAAGTTGGCCGAAAAGTCGACAAGCCCGACAGAGAAACGCGACAAGGGAAGGGAAGAAATCCTAGGAGAAAGTCTCCACCTTGAAGTCTCCATGGCCATGCATCGTTTCCTCTCAGCTTAGAATCACGGCAGAAAGAGTACCTGGTACGCCTCTCTCATCGGCTGGCGTTGGCGAGTTCTCAAGCAGCCAATATTGAGCCGACTGCCCATTTACCGCATGGATGGACTTGTCCTCCACCAGAAGATGGGACGGAATCACCAGTTGACACGGCGAGAAGCTCGCTCCGGCCTGTTCTACACGTACACCCACAGTCCCCTAGGAATATCGTTGATGTTCGTGCAGGCCTCCCCGTTCCGGCGAGTTCCGCACGCCAATCAATATAAAATACGGAGTATATACTGATATACTCCGTGCTCCGGGCTCGGTGCCGGTGCGCATCCGAGACCGTGCCTAGCGAGCCGCAATCCAGTCGACCCAAGACGATGGGTTGTGGACATACAATTTAGCCATTATTTTGGCCATGACCGGCTATCTCGTGTCTCCTACATCAGCGCCGCAAATGGTTGGCCAAGCCAAGTTTTCCATCGTCTTCGTCTTCGACGGCAATGCTTTGCCAGCATACCCCAAGTCTGTCGACTGGTTCACAATGTCGGCTCACATATTTTTGCAGCCAATGTGCCGTGGCCACGCGTCCCCGGCCGCAGCTGTTGGTGAATCCTGTACATGATATTTTTTAGCTACCAGTTGCACTGCTATATATAGTGACTTGATCGTGAGAACCGTCTACAGCGTCAAATCCCAAAGACGATTCATGCCCCGGTCGCTCTCGCTCTCACTGTCGGATAAGCTAACCGTAATTATCACGCGGAACACGGCTCCTTGATATGCTAGCCCCGTCATGGCACAGGCTTGACAAGGCATCTTTTTGGAAGCGCTGCGGCGTGACGCGTCCCACGTTCAAGAAGCGCTGTTCGGACCATCTCGTAATGATTTATTACACGTGATTAACTGATATACGCTTCCCACCGATTCGCGCTCCAGCAATCCATGCACGACTCAACATCTCTGGTCGAGAGTAGTTCAGGACATCATCATCACTGGATGCTCAACCAGAAGTTTTAGCATCTTTCCTAGGATTTGTCGTCCCGAAATCCGGGGTTCTTATGAATAGCGCCGTTATACTCCTTCCATACCCCTGGACAAGGAAGAATGGATCTCGGAGACTTCTGCCTTCAAGGCCGTTGCCCTGACTCCCCGGATGATGACTTGATGACGTTTTATGATTCCCAACCTGATTTCCCATGTCGGACCGCTGCCCTGATTACCGATGGGACTTTCAAAAAACCAAAAGGGATCTAGACAAATTGTCGCATATCCATAATGACAGTCCGTGGCAGTTCCCCGGCACATACCCGCGCCAACCCCCTCTTTCAGGCGACCTTCTCAATATTCTGTTTGGAACCCCGGGGAAAGTGCGAGAAAAAGACGGCAGGTAAGAGAATTGGAACCCCATCGACGCAGCGCATAGGGCCAAGTGGAATGTACTGGCAAGGCACGTGGTCACTTCTTTTGTCGTTTAGCACTCTTGTCGCTCACGCTGCTTAAAACACTGGCGCTTCGCTTGTGAGGACCATTGCTGCTCGCCGGCCGAGCGCTCTTTTCCCTTTCCCTTTCTCGTTCGGCTTCTGCCAGCTTCTCCGCGGGGGCGGCAGCCTCTTCATCTTGTCCTGGTTTGGAAGTCGATGCTTCTGCTGCGTCATCGGCCCCTGCAGGTGGTGGTTCCCGTTGATCTTTGGCATCGTCGGCCTTGTTCCCACCAGTCTGGCCGGCGGCCTTGTCCCCGGGCTCTCGTTCATCTCTAGAGGCAACAGAGTCATCAGGCTTCTTACCCTCGCCGCCAGCCTTCTGCTCGCTGTCCGCCGGAGCGGTCTCCTTCTGGGAAGCAGCGGGGCCTTGGTTCTTCTCGCGCTCTGCCTTTTTGGCCTGCTCGATCTTGATCTCGCCGTCGAGCTTGTCGGATACCTTTCGCGCGTCCAATAAACTGTTGACAGCAGCAAGGAGCTGTTCGTACTGCAGGGTGGTCGCAGCGGTTGGCATTGCCAACTTGGCGGGAACATCCAACTCGTTGAGGGCGTTGCTGATTCGGAGCTGTTGTTGGTTGGACTTGTGGGAGAAGAGTTTGTTGATCTTTTCGGTCCGGAACACAGGTCCTGAACCAAGTCGGTCGTGGTGCGTAACACCGTACACGGCCTCCTCCTGGTGGTTGAGCTTCCTGCGCTCTGTCGGTTGTTGCTGCTGCCTCTCTTGTAGTTGCTGTGCCTTCTTGCTGGCAGCGGTGGGCGTTGGCGTGGCTGCCGTAGACTCGCGAGTCGCGGCATTCGACAGAGCAGCACTCTCCCGCCTGCCTGATTCCGGCCCTGGTAAATTCTGAGCCGCTCCAGCCGCTCCAGGCCCAGCGCCAGCCGTAGTTTCGATGCCCACGATGGATTTTCTCTTCTTTGACTTGTCCGTACTCATGAGATTCTGCAGCAAAGTCTGCAATCCGGCCGAGGACTTGAATGGGTTGATGTCCGTCTCAGCCTTGGGATAATCCAACCGGTTATACAGCTCTCTCCTCTCTTCGTTGAATCGCTCACTCCTTGCCATTATCCGCTTGACCTCTAACAGCAACGACTCTTCTTCTCTGGCTTCTTCCTTTGATCGCGACATGGAATTCACTGCGAATTCCTTCCTCAGCTTCTCTTGTTTAGGATTGAAATGCGCCATGGTCTCGTGCAGCGCATACTCTTGCTGCGTCATGTACTGCACCGGTTTCTGAGCGGCCATCATCTTGGCAGCGACCTCGTAGTATCTGGCCTTGAGGTCCTCCATGGACCGAGGCCTCGTGGCAGGGACGATCGCCTTATTCTCATCCCCATCCGCGTCGGCCACCCCATTCGTCGCCGGGGGTTGATACTCGTATCGATCCCAGATGAGTGGCCAGCGGAGATCAAAGTCGCTTGCCATGCCCATCAAGTAGTCCGTCTCCTCTCTTGTCCAATCTTCGCTTTGCAGCGAGACGCGGTACTGGTCCTGAGAGTATTGCGGGACTTGGATTCTCACGTTGAACTTGGCGAACGCCGAGTCTTCCATGTCTCGTTCCGCCTCGCCTTGGTTCTTGTCTGCATGTTGTTCCGGGCCCCGTGCTTGCGATTGTCCACCACCCGGTGATTGGGCCTCGGGCTGCTTTTGATTCTCGCCACCAGCCGCGGCAGAGTCCTTGATACCTACCCGTCGCCAATGGCGCAAGATCAACGACCCATCGTCGCGCCCTGAGTTGCGGAACTCGCGGAGTTCCCATCGCGCAGCCGGTTTGCGGCCCCCGAGACGCCTCTTCTTGAATTGATTCTTGGCCGGTATAATCGACACGGGATTATCGCCACCGAGGTTGAGGACCTCTCTGGCTAGACCCTTGAGATTGGGTTTCGGCTGCCCGGTTTTCTGTTTCTTGGAAGGTCGGGGGTCTGAGGAACTGTCTCCCAGATTGAGAACGTCGCGCAAATCGGAAGACGTCATTTTCGCTCGTCTCGGGGGGGGAAACGAGATGGTGGAAGACAGCCCTATCTCACGTGCATCAAGTCATCAAAAAAAGACGGCAAGTTTGATTCTGTTTCTTGAAAAGAACGGCGACAGCAGGCCAAGGACGAAAACGAGTGTCGACTGGATTGCGCGTCACTGTCGACAAGGGGAAGCCGCAGATGCTCGAGTGGTCGTGCAACATCTTCTTCACTTGGGACATGACACGGAGGTTGCCCATCGGCTGTCAGGGCGTGCGTGCACGTGACCCCACCACCAAGTTGCGCGCCCCCCCTTGGCACAGGTCCATTTTTCGAACGTGGTAGCTTCATGAAGCTTCAATCAGGGCCGTCGGCATTGCATTGAATTGATGGTGCAGTAGAACGCTATAACTGCAATCGACATTGCACTTTTGGCGCTGCACGACAGATCCGCCAGGCGTCGACGTCTACGTCTCCCGCTTCCTCCCCTTTCGTTTCCGTCGCAGCGATCCTCGTCTTTCGCCCTCCACGGTTTGCTTCGCTTTCGAATATAGACGCACACGCACACGCACACGCACACGCACACACCATGAAGTCCTTCCTGCCTCTGCTGTCGCTCGCATCCGCCGCGCAGGCTCTCCACTTCTTCGTCGACGGCGTCTCGCCCAAGTGCTTCTTCGAGGAGCTGCCCAAGGACACGCTCGTCGTGGGCCACTACACCGCCGAGGAGTACGACGACCGCGTCAACGCCTGGCAGCAGCACAGCGGAATCGCCATCTACATTTCCGTCGATGTACGTGCCGCTCCCACCCGCCCCCGTGTCCTCGCCCGCGGGCGCCCCGACTGACATGACACGCACGCGCACAGGAAGTCTTCGACAACGACCACCGCATCGTCTCCCAGCGAGGCTCCTCCTCGGGCCGCTTCACCTTTACGGCCCACGAGGCCGGCGACCACAAGATCTGCTTCGTCCCCTCGTCCACCTCGGGCCGGTCCTCGTGGCTCTCGGCGCACTCCCCCAACGGCGGCATCAAGATGAAGCTCGACCTCGTCATCGGCGAGACGGGCCAGATAGAGAGCAGCGACAAGGACAAGTTGCAGGACATTGCGTCGCGCGTCAAGGACCTCAATGCCAGGCTGCAAGATATTCGCCGTGAGCAGATTTTCCAGAGAGTACGTTTCCCCTTTCCCCCCTCCCTCCCTACACACCAATCTCCCTTGCAACCCGGCGCTCTTCCCACTCACTGGCGGGGGACGTGCCCTTCGTTGACGCTGTGAAAACTAAAAACACAAAACAGGAGCGAGAAGCCGACTTCAGAGACCAGTCCGAGTCTACCAACTCCCGCGTCGTCCGATGGATCATCATTCAGCTCATTGTCATCGGAGTCACCTGCGCCTGGCAACTATCACATCTCCGATCCTTCTTTATCAAGCAGAAGCTCACGTAGGGCACTTTCTTGGGAGCTGGGCTGGCTTCCGGACGCAGATGTGAGCAAGCGAGCTTGGGTTTTTTTTTTCTCCCCCTTTTCTTCCTGTCTTCTGTCTTCCATCAAATCAAAGGGGTCCAAAGATGTTCACGTTATTTCCATGCAGAACGGTCCAGTGGGTGGCCGACCCCTGGTAAGCAAAATTTACACAACCGGGAGAGACATGGGCATACTAAACGGTATTGAATCGTGACGATAATTCGCACGTCGGGTCATGTAGTTCAAAGAGCACAAGTGTCCAGAAAATATACATTCAGTAGTCGAGTGACTTTGAATCATGACGCCCCCTCGAAAAAATGTGTGCGGGACGTGGTATCATGTTGCCAAAATATTTATTCCATTACCATGTATACCATAAGGGAACTCCTGAGCCTCCTTATATTCCCATCAACGCTACAATTGCCCCTTTCCCCCCTTCTTGCTGTGTAGTCAGCACCTTCATGCCTTCTAGAATCGCACCCTGTGCACCACTTCCCCGCCCACCAATTGCCGCTCTAGTGCGACCAGACAAGAACGCAAAACATGAAGCCGTTGCAGATTTCTCTGTTACAATGTGGCGTGCAAGTAGAATGACTTGAAGAGTGGGAAAGTGGGAGGCTGTACAGTGGAGAAGGGTAAACGGAAGAAGAGAAACTGAAATTGATAATATCGCGAGTAAACCCAATGCTCCCTCTTTGTCGTTACCGCCTCGCGCCGTGCTTCGCTGCACATTCAAAGTGGCTTTTAAGTGTGGTTTTGTTTTGGAATGCCTGGCGTGAAAGATAAAACGGATCTAGGAAATTTCCAACCCTTGTTTCCTTTCGGCAGTCTTTGACGAGACTTGCCTGGAATGTTTTTGTCGCTTTTTCTGAATGCTAGTCGTAAAGTGAACATGCGTCCCCATCGATGCGGAACGACCATAAAATACTCTCCCCGCCGGCCTTTGTGGACATGAGTATGGCCTTGGAGCCTGTTGCCGTAATTGACGGGTTCCGGGCCCACGTCTCTGCGTTTCAGCACTGACTGTCTGCCGCCACTGGATGGCAGTGGGATTGCTTCTTGGCATGTCATAACCCGGTACGATTTTGCCCAGGACGTCGGAATTCAGGCTGAAGAAGTCGTCCGGATCGGGAACTGACATGGGTCGTCGGCAAAAATTATATCGTGTCTCAAGTTGGCCGCCCACTCGGACGGTCTCTGGATTGCTGGCACCGCGCGATGTACCAAAACACTCCCGAGAGCTGATGGGAGGCGCCTAACCACAGCAAATAGTCTTCATGAACTTCTGGAAACCACTGGGCTGAGGCTCGGCAGGTCGGGGGTTAGGTTGGCCGGCAGCCACCATGGGGCTCTGTTGCTGTCCCCTCTGGGGCAGGTTCTGGGTGCTGTTCTGGAATTGAGCTTGAGTCGAGCCAGCCGGTGTAGCCAAATCGCCTCGGAGACCCCCCACGGCGCTGGCTCTCTGGGCCCCCGTGGTGCCGAGGCCGCTTGGCCGATCTTTCCGGCTGCCCATTGGTTTGATCGGTGATGGAGGGGGGGGTTGCGCGGCGTTTAAACGGCCGACGGTAAGATTCTGTGCTTGCTGATGAGAGTTGGTATTCCCAGGACGGTGGCCACTGTGCAGTTCCATTTGAGAAGGACCGGGACGCACGTTTGGGTTGTGAAGATAGCCAGCTCCATGGTTCTTGACAGAGTCCCACCCCTTTCCCGAATCCTTGGTGACTTTCATCCAGTCGTACTCGCCATCCTCGACCTCGCCCGTGTTCTTCAGCGCTTGAGTGAAGAGCTCGCGCAGGTAATCGTAGTCGGGGGTATCCTCAAAGCCAAGGTTTCGGACATATGTAAGATACTTGGAAAACTCTTCCGGGAAGCCTTCGCAAAGATCCTTGATTGCGGTGGTCTGCTTCTTCTCACCAATCTTCTCATACTTTTGCTTGTTCGTAGCGGCCTTGAGACCCTGCCACGGTAGGCCACCACGGAGGAAGTACATGAAGACGTGGCCAAGAGCCTCGAGATCATCTCGTCGAGATTGTTCGCGTCCCAAGTGAGTGTTGATACTCATGTATCTGGCCGTTCCTGACAAGGATTTTCGTTCTCTGTAGGGGATGTGCTGCTTGGTTTTGGGGTCACGGTACTGTTTGGCCATGCCAAAGTCGACGACATGTATGACGTTGGAGGACTTGGTGCCGGGGCGGCCAATCAAGAAGTTGTCGGGCTTGATATCACGATATATCAGGTTTTTCTCATGAATCGTCTGGACTCGAGACAGCATCTGCTTGGCAACCATGACAACGGTCTTGATGGTGAACCGACGCCCACAGTGGTCAAAAAGATCTTCAAGAGACGGCCCTAGCAGGTCAATGACCAGGATATTGTGAAGGCCTTCTTGGCCGAAGTAGTAGACATTGGGGATTCCCGCTGGAACACTGGTTAGCACGGCGGCGTGGCGCAGATGCAGATTGGCGACTGCGAGACCAGTCTAGACGGAGCTTACGACATCCGACGAGGATCTTGTATGTTCGATACTCATCTCGGAGTTGGGGAGCGTCACTTTTACGGGGTTCCTAGAAGCAAACGTCAACAGGCTGCAACGGACACGGGCAGCAAGAAGTAGCGTGGCGGCTCGGTGGCGTGTCTGCACACAACTCACGAATTTGATGGCCACTTGTTGGTTGTTCAACAGATTGGTTCCCTCGAAGATGACGCCAAAGGAGCCCTCTCCGATCTTCTTCCCCACGCGGTAGTGCACACCGACTACATTCGACGACGACGAAGCCATTGTATCGAGAGGTGGAGGCTTGCCCTGTGGCAGCCCTTCGCGTCGCTGACAAAGGGGTGTCGGCGTCGATGCTGAAAAGACGAGGTTCGATGAGGAAAGGAGATGCGTCGTCGGCGTGTCTCGTCGACGGGACGAAACGAGCAGGCAGAGAGGCTCGGTGGAGCGACTAGGCTCAAGGTGCTCCTTAGGAGACCAGAAGACGGGCGGGCGGCGGGCGGGTACGGAAGGGCAGAAGAAAAAGGGGGGGGAGCACAAGGCCTGTTTGTTGACTGCAGGCTGCAGGCTGCAGGCTGTCTGCTGTTTGCCCCTGTCAACCGGCTAACGTAAGGACGGAAACGAGCGCTCAGCAACGGCGGGCAGTAATGATCACCCGGCGCATGGCACTGGGGGAGGTTGGAATGCAAGTTTAAGAAGGAAAAAAAGTCTGTCTGGCCGTGGGCGTGGCTGTGGAGGAGCAAGCAGAGAAAGACAGCGCGAAGGGACAAGATTGGACGCGCGAGAGAGGGAGATGGTTCAGATGGGGGCCAGAAGACAGAAGGAAGAGGGCGAAAGGGCGAAAGGGTAAGTCAGGGTCAGGGTCTGCCAGCGAGGGCGCTTCAGGACTCAAGAGTCGGGAGAGAGCCAGAGCCAGAGTCCTACATACTAAGTACCTGGTACCTGAGTAGGTAGGCACTTGCGTAGCACACACTCCGTAACGCGCGGGTACCTTGTACGGAGCACCCGGAGCATGTCGCCCCATGTCACTCCTGTGCCGATGAGTGCTTGGGGAATGCTCCAGACCTTCAGACTCAGCCCCGACTCGCCGGCGCGCAGGCTCCCAGGAGGGACTAGTAGCTTGACACACGGGCAGTCTCTGCCTGGCAACGGCGGTCGGTTGCTCGTGCATGGCACGCCAAGCCGGAACAGGACAGGACAGGACAGGGGACACCGGCTCCAACTGGCTGCAACTGGCTCCAAAATGGCTTGGGGCTGGCTGGGCGGCGGCGGCTGCGGCTGCGGCGCTGGCGTCGGTTTGCAGCTCAGACAACAAACAATCCGTACGGACAGACGACGTCTGCACGCACGCCGGGAGCCGCCTTCGGGCGGTCGGGCCTTGGACAAGGCAGCTGTTGTCAATCTAGCAGATTAAGTTGAATTTATCAGGCGCCTACTTTTATTAGGTACAGAGCACGGAGCACGGAGCACGCCGGACGGAGGACGGAGGACCCGGGCGCGCTGGCAAGTACCTGGACGGACTGGTACTTTCCGAGGTACATGGAGCTGCAGGGCAGGGCAGCCCAGACGATAGATTTTGGCCAGCAACAGCAACACGCACATGCGACGTGAAGTTGGCGATGCTCCCTGCTTTTGCGCAGCAACCAATTCAACGCAGCCGTCGTCCAACCATGTGTCTTTTTGTTTCGTCTCAGCGGCCTCCTGGCCAACTGGTTCGTGCCCACCTACTCAGCACCTGCTCAGTACCTAAGTACCTAACTCAGTACCTAGGTACTTAAGTGCTCAAGTAGGTACCTTGGTACCTCCTACGAGATCAATCGGTCCTTCTCGTCAGGCCCCGAGTCCCCCCTCCCTCTTTTCCACCAAAATCTTAGCTCTTGCATTCAAGCACTAATATTCCACTGGAGATCATCGTCAGGTGTAATTACCAAGAGCAACTGCCGTTGCCTCCACCACTCGAAGCATCGTCCACTCCACGCCAATCCTCGTCGGCTGACAAGTTAACCCCCTGCTTGTTATTCGGTGCACCTATGTGTGCTGATGGAATGGCTTCCAGACTGGCACCGGCCACGAACCCCGTCTTCCATGGCGGGCCGCAAACAACAAGATGAGCGGGGGTGCTGGCCGACGACACACACGATAACGAACTAGAAGATGTCCAACTCCACCGGCCTGCAAGTACGCATTCAAGTCAGCAAGTACTCCGTACGGATGCCCAAGTGCCAATGGCGACTTGCATTGCTACCGGCATCGGATCCTTTTCCAGGAGCACTCCGTGCCGACTAACTAACTGCCGAGGCCGGTTACTTGCTTCACCAAGACAATGACATAACTAATAATGCATGGCAGCTAGTACGGAGTAACCAACTTAATAGTACTAGTAGTCTCCCAGTCGGCTCTGCCACTGGCATGCAAGTTCGAAACCGTCAACTGCAGACGAAGAGCATGCAAACAAACACAGGCCGAGCCCAGCTCAGCCGTTGAAAAAATGAAAAGCCAGGCGAGGGCTCGGTCTGCTTTTTTTTTTTTTTTTTTTGGGCGATTGAATCGAGCCAGGAAACCAACTCAGCCGGCCAAAACCTCAACGACAAGTCCGGGATAACAAATCAGGCAATTTCAAGTTGATGAGGATCCAACGAAGCGCTGGGCAGGATCCCAGCAGATAAAAGACAATCATTAAATGGCCTTCGGGCACTAAGCCAACAGACGGACAATCACCTTCTATAGCGAGCTTGCTCGTCACACAGCACCTTTCCATTGCCCTACCATCAACGTTTGCGCTCTTTTATACCCGTCCCAAGAGCTTCCAGAGGCATCGTTCGGAATCCATCAACCACGGCCGAAATACATGGATTTACACATGTACACAGGCGCTTGGCAACACGCGTTGCTCGTCAAGCCTCGGCTACTTGACCGAGTGCGAGTACAATGTCTCTGGTTCTGACCCAAACCAGCATCAAGTCAAGTCAACCGCGCGGCGCATTAGGCAGCTCCGGGCTCATCCTCCCCTTCACACATTGCATCATCGTCTGGGCCACATCGTACCGTCTCTGCAAGGGTGCGTAGCCACGGCCCTCGTCTTCGTCGCGGCAGCATCTGCTTTGTCGACGTTCTATCCAAACACGATGCAACAGACATGCCCGCGCCCTTGGTCCGTATCAGCATCCAAAGGGCAGCTGTACGGAGTCCTCTCCTCGGCATCGCCCTTGCGTCTATAGTCCCAGCAGGTAATTTCACCTACAACACGGCGCATATTGTATACCACTAGCACGGAGCATCCTGACTCGCGGCTCCGTCCGTCAATGCGCAATGCTCCCAGTAACAATAAGAGTCGGCCGACTCCAGGTCGAAGGGGTGCCAGCAAGGATCCAGGTACAAAACTGGGCAATGCCGGACATCTTGTTTGTTTCCCGTACAATGCAGCGGTTATTACTCCGTATATATAACAGCACTCAATGCACGTTACTTCTGTACACCGACTTTTTGCCAACAGCGTAATAGAGTCTGCCTCGCATCAGTGCAAACATTTCATGTCGGCTGTCCGACCTGCCCAATTTGGCCTTTGTGTTGTGGATCGCCTTGAAGCGCCCGCGTTATGCATAGTCCTCGCAGGGTCATTAGTAGTCATGGCCCCTTGCTCTTCCTTTTCTCGCAGCAGAGCCGCATTTAATGTCAATCGGCTGTACGGACTACGAGGTCAAGCCAGGCCATGGCCCTGGGGCCTGGACGACAGGGCCCCCAGCGCGGGAGTCTTTGATCCAGCATCACGGAACCCATGTACGGAGTAACTTACACACGGGGGTATTCTCCGGGTACTAAGCATTTTGTCTCTGGACGCTGACACAACTTTGCTGGTGCGAGAGATGGAATTGGGGGTCTAAACATCGATGCACTCCATCCGATCCCACAACAGTGATGATGCGACGTGCCAGCATCATGTCATTACTGTCGATTAGACTGGACACTTTCTCCAACGCGGGATACCGCTGCTTATAGGGTAAGCTCCCGCTGTCGGTGCCAGTTCATTGCCTTTAGCCCCTTCCGGAGGCCGGAGATGTGCGGACATGACGCTAAAACCGCGCGGGACCATAACGAATCTTGCTGAGCAATGGAGCGGCCAACTCACCCTGGTGGGGTTGACCGTTGAATGATGAAGATAGACGACCTGCCCTCATCTTGGACACAACAACAACTTCATCGCCTTTTCGTGGAGTGGTATAAAGCTCACGCGCCGGGGTCCGCGATAGGTGCTTCGCCTCACCACACATTTTCCGCTTGCGTTGGTTCTCGGCTAGGTTCACGGATAAAGCACAAAGCGCCACCATGTCGAAGCCGCAGGACATGCCGCCCATGACATATCGGTTCCTGGGCCGCTCTGGACTTCAGGTCTCTTCCGTCTCGCTCGGAGGATGGCTCACGTACGGTGGCCACGTTGACAGAGGTAACGAGCCTCTTTTTCGGAGGATTCCTGCTGAAACTTCATGGCGCTGATCATGGCGAGCAGAGGGCACCTTTGCGTGCATGAAGGCAGCATACGACTGCGGTGTCAACTTCTTCGACTGCGCCGAGGTCTACTCCGCCGGTGAGTCGGAAATCGTCATGGGAGAGGCCATCAAAAAGTTTGGCTGGAAGAGAAACGACCTCGTCATCTCAACCAAGGTGAGGGCACATGACGCCCCTGACCCGTCGAGGGGAATCGCTCACGCTTCTGTAGATCTACTGGGGCCAAGCATTTGGCGACAACATCGTGAACAACAAGGGCCTCTCACGCAAGCACATCGTCGAAGGCGTCAATGCCTCTCTGAGGCGCATGGACCTCGACTATGTCGACATCATCTTTGCTCACCGACCCGACCGCCAGACCCCCATGGAGGAGACCGTCCGCGCCTTCAACCACATCATTGACACTGGCAAGGCCTTTTACTGGGGCACATCCGACTGGGACGCCGACGAAATCGCCCAGGCCTGGCGCTACGCCGACAAGCTCGGCCTCATCGGCCCCGTCACGGAGCAACCCGCGTACAACATGCTGCAGCGCGAAAAGGTCGAGACCGAGTTCGCCCACCTGTACCGCGAGAACGGCGGTCTGGGGCTGACTGTCTTCTCCCCCATGCGGCAGGGCATCCTGTCCGGCAAGTACAAAGATGGTATTCCCGCGGACTCGCGCTTCAACCAGACCAGCGTCGAGTTCATCAAGGGCTTCTGGACCCGCACGAGCAAGGATACGTGGGACGGCATCGTCGACCAGGTCAACAAGCTGCAGCCCATTGCGGACAAGCTGGGCATCCAGATGAGCACGTTGGCTTTGGCGTGGGTTCTCAAGAACCCCAATGTCAGCACCGCCATCACGGGTGCGAGTCGGCCGGAGCAGGTCTATGAGAATTGCAGGGCGGTGGCGGCCGTGGACAAGTTGACGCCGGAGATTATGGATGAGATTGACGACGTTTTGAACAATAGGCCTCCTGCCATCGTGATGCGACATTAGATTGGTGCTGAGACGATAAGACGTACGTATCGAATGGGTAATCCCTGGGCCAGACGACATGCGCGAGGATGTAGCAAGATAGGAAAACAGCCTGACGCGGAAATGATATGAAACCTGCATGCCTGTGGCTCTTTCTGTTCCTTTTCGGCATTTGTTTTTTAAAAAAATGATGTTTGTGGCACAGAAAACGCCACATGGTGCTCTATCCGGACAGTCGAGATGCGCCGGTTCGCAATCATGACCCCTCCTCCGTCTTGCCTGCGTCGACATTTCCCACCCTCAAATCAGACACAAAACCCAGCCCGAGTAGAGCAAGAAGCGCAAAGTCAACCGTCAGCATGTCGCCAAACAAGCTGCAAGAATGGTTTCCCTGGGTTCAAACGCCCGTGGTTTGCAGCGCGCCCATGATGGGCGTCGCCACGGTTGAGCTGGCGACGCAAGTGAGCAAGGCCGGCCCAGCGCGCAGCGACCTCTGACCTCGGCCCTGACCCGTGCAGGCTTCCTCCCGTGCATATTCGACCTTGCTCCAGGATCCGAGCAGCTCGCCGCGCTGGCCGCCAACCTGACGACGAGCAGAGCACTCCTCGGGACCAGCGACGGCGGGCGCGCCGACGTAGGAGTCGGCTTTCTCACCGGTCACGCATCCGTAGCCTCCTTCGCCGAGACTGCCGTCCCCGTTGTTGCGGAGCATCGACCCGCGGCCGTCTGGCTCTTCGCGCCAAACCAACACGTCAAGCCGCACGGAAACATCATCAGGGCTTTGAAGGCCCTGGACCCGGCCCCCAGAGTGTTTGTCCAGGTGGGCAACGTGGCCGCGGCGAGGGAGGCCGTCCGGGACGGCGCAGACGCCATCGTCTGCCAGGGCATAGACGCCGGCGGGCACCAGTTCAGACGGGGCGCGGGCGTCGTCACGATCGTCCCCGAGGCGAGGGAGATGCTGGAGCGGGCGCCCCGCGGGAGCGAGGTCTGCGTGCTGGCAGCCGGGGGGATAGTCGACGGGAGAGGCCTGGCCGCCGCCATGGCGTTGGGTGAGTCCTTGTCCTTGCCCCTTGCCTCCTCGCGACGGCGCACGCGAAACGGTTGCTCACGGGCCGTAGGCGCCTACGGAGTCGTCATGGGCACGAGGGTAGGTAGCCGGCGCGAACGAGTCGCGATGTGCGCGGCGCCCGCTGAAGATTGGGCCACGCCCTAGTTTACCGTCGCTCGAGAATCCGCGTACCCCGACTTTCGGAAGCACTTGGTCCTGAGTGCCGTTGACGGCGGCATCTCAACCCTCAAGTAGGTCGCGCACGCGTCGGGCCCGGCGTGTCTCGCTGGCCTGCAACGTGCCTCCCGTGCCCCTGCGAGCGAGCGAGCGAGCGCGTACTGACTGACGCCGAACCACGAGGTCCCCTTTCAACGATGAGATCAACAACAGCGCCTTGTACGAAGCCCTCTGGGGCGCTCACTACGACGGCCGCTCCGTCGTGAGCACTATCCATGAGCAGTTCTTGGCTGGTTCGACCTTGGAGGACCTGCGGAAGAGCTTGGCCGAGGATTACTCCAAAGACGACGCGGCCAAGTTGATCAACACGTGGGCGTGAGTACATCCCCGACACCACGTCCAACACCGCACGATGATGTATGGAGCCGGCCAACGCATGCTCACAATCACACACACGTTACAGCGGAACTGGCGTCGGCCTCGTCAAAGAGGTCCTCCCAGCGGGTGAAATCGTCCAAGAAGCCCGCGAAACCGCCAAGCGAACGATCCGCGAGCTCGTGGGACAGTTGTGTGAGTGAATTCCACGGCGTCCACAACGCGCACACGGGTGTACGTAGTACGCACAAGGGCAATACCGCAATAGAATAGCTGCACGGCCCTTCCAACGATGGCGTCACGAAAAGCCACAAGTCGCATCCGTTGCATGTTGGTGTATTTCGTCTATGCGTGACGCATGTGATACAAAGCGAAGAACTGGCCCCCCCGTCGTTTTATGCTACAAAATGAGAGGCTCCCTTGGAATTTTCTAAACCCGACGACTCGGCCGACACTCACTCCCCGCTTCCACGTCCTCTCATCATCAGCTCACGCCTTGGATTCCACCCGTACATGTGTGCATTTACAGGTTAGCCTTGGACTTGGCCTTCTTCATGATGGGGTCGAGCTTGGTGGCCTTCATGATGTCGCCCTTGATCTTGAGCTTGCCGGACATGAACAGACGCTGGGGGTTGGCAGAGCCGTCGACGAGCTTGCCAAAGTCTTCCTCGGAGAGGAGGAGGGTGACTATTATTTTGGTCCGTGTCAGCCACGATTTGTTGATTTTTTTTGACCTCGTCTTCTCCCGCTCGCCTCCCCGAGGCTTGTGTGCGTGCAGCGGACAAGACACGGCCCCGGGCAAGGGGGAAAGGGGGCAGCATTCAGTGCATCTTCAGGGTGCAAGGGGGCCGCAACGTACCAGTGGGCTTGCCGACGCCGGTGCCAACGCGGCCCGACTCCTTGAGGTCGACGTGCCAGCTCTCGGTCTCGCCGGCCTTGTTCTTGAGGGTGAAGGCAAAGACGCCGTTGGCCTGCTTGATGGCGTCCTTGCGCTCGGCGTCGGAGCCCGACAGCACGCTGTCGATGGCGTCGAAGGCGGCCGAGGCGGGGAACTTGGCTGGACGAGGTCAGGTCAGGTCAGGTCAGCTTCTCTCGTCTTTTGCCCATCCTCTCCGTCAGTCCGCGTCAACCCGTCGTGTGACGAGCGGCGGCGGCTGGCGACATGCAAAGATGCCGGCTGCGCGCCGCGCAACGACGTGTCCCGAGCGGGAGTCGTAAGTCGGAGCATCTGTGTGGAAATACGCACCGTTGGCGAAGCCCATTTTGGAACAATGGCAGTTGCAAAAAGCTGGTAGAGGGTCGAGGCAAGAGGAGGCGAGATGCGAGATGCGAGATTGAAGAGGTGCACCGCGGTTCGGTTCTTTTGCAGGTCCAAGGGTGAAGGCAAGGCAAGGCTTCTCCGGAAAGTGGAATCTCAAGCTTAAATGCCTTTCCGCCTGTCGAACATTTCGCTTAGTGGCTGGTTTGGGGTGCGATGGATGAAATGGGCGGCGCCGCAGTGCCGCAGCGCCGTGGGCATGTGACGGGAGCCTCGGCCTGACATCATGTGCGGCCCAGTTCGTCGACGGTTTTGTGTTTGGAAAGGGGTGTTTCAAGCCCCACTGCTGTGCTGCGTGTCGCGACGGTGTCGGTCCGCATTGGGAGTTTGCGCAGGCGGCATTTTGCTTCTGCGAGGGTTTTTGGATCTGTTGTCTTTTTACTTTTTATTTTTATTTTTTTTATAGGACAAGAGCAGCGTGGTGGAAGTGCCGTCGACGACGATTCGCGACTGGGGATTCTGGAGAGCCGGGGCGTTTGTGAAATGCCCCTTCCCCGCACGCGGTCCTCGGTTATGACCACTCGAACTTGCTAGTGCTGCTCCGTACTGCTGCCGACTCCCGAGTACTCCGACGCTTTTGTTGGACGGGCCGTGGGCCAGGCACAGCCACCCGCCTCCCCCAACGGAGCGTCGAGTTCCACCGAGGGCACGTTGACGAGCGCTGAGACGGGCACACGCACGACATGTCCGCTGCCCGGCGTGCCTGGCGGCTGCATGTCTGGGCGCAGGGGAGCAGACGCTCGGCAGTGCGCGCTTGGAGCTCGGGGACAAGTCTTCTTTCTTTTCTATTTTGGGCCGACTGCCGCGCGTTGTTTGTTCCCTTGTGGCGGCTGCCTCTCCCACGCCCGCGACGCTGCCATGGTCTGAATGCCTCCTAGTACTTGATGTGCCCCTGGCCCAAGGCCTTGATACTTTGAATCTCCAGAAACTTGGTACCGACTATGCTTGTGTTTATCGTACAGCTGAGATGCGAGGCCCATCACGCTTTCCTCTTCTTCCTTTGTCTGTGCGTGCCAGCAGTGAGCGCCCTTTCGTGTGCTTCCCCGTCCGACCGTCAGCCCTGGCACCCCCCTTTTCTATCAATATCCTCCTTGCAGAGAATCAACCACCTTCCCGTCCGTTCCAATGCCATCCCTTACAACTCCCAATCGGGAACGGCAAAGTTTCGCTGCTGGGGCCAGTGTTCCGGCCTACATGGTTTTGCAAAAGGTCAGCTCTTGAACCGTCTTCCCCATGCCCGCGCCGGCCGTTCGGCCGCTCGGCGCAATAACATCATCTCCCCGGCACCAAAAAAAACCACTCTTCCGGAATGGTGCTCTCCCAGAGGGGAAAAAAAAAGACACTCACCTCGTCAGCAATAACGTGGTCATGCGTCTGCGCCGCTCTGATACGTCCTCGGCCGCCGTCAACCTCAACCAATCTCCCAGCCAACTCCTCAGCTCCGTCTCACTCCTGCCCATCACGTCTATGCCTCGCTCCGCACACGCAATTCTCAGCTCCTCCGTCTCCAACCCCATCGGGCCGCCGTCCTCTATCAGGTTCTTGTCGTCGCCTTCGAGGAACGCCATTCGTAGTCTGCCCTTGACCTGCCACATCCCCGGGGGCGTGAAGCCCAGCCGGTCCCACATCATGCCCGAGAGGTGCAAGCTCCTGAGGACGTGTTTTCTGGCGACGGGCGCGCTGATCTGGGGGCTCAGCACGCCGTGGGGGTACCGCGCCTCGAGCTCGTCAAAGGCGAGCCTGCGCCGGCCCTCGGCCTTTTGCAGGCCCGAGTACAGCTGCTTTGGAATGCGGCAGGTATACGGCACCACGCCGTCGACGTAGATGACCACCAGGGCGGTGAACTCCCCAATGACAAGCAGCATGAGTCCGAAGAGCGGCAGCCGCAGCATGTCGTGCCGCACGCGCCACAGCAGAACCCAATCGGCGCGGGAGAAGGTCTTGGGGACGTAGTGAGGCCTGAGCACCGACGGACGGTCGTCTGCCGGCGTCCTTTCGAGCTTCTCCTTTAGCAGCCTGCGGTTTGCGAGGACAGCCTTCAGCCCGTCCTTGTAGAACTTCAGATAGCCCTTTCCTAGCTGGAAGAGGTACTGTGCTGTGGAATCGGATGCGCTCCGCGGCGGCACGTCCAGCGGCGGCGGTCGAGTCGAGGCCGGCGGGTTGAGTAGCGTGTTCTCCGGAGGTCGAGCTTCGCCACGGCGAGGCTGTACCTGCTTGTGAGCTGCGCGCCATTGATGAGCGCCGAGGGGTGCGTGCGAGTTGCGGTGCTGTAGAATGGCAGGCCTGCAGGCGAGGAGGCAGGCCCTGCGGTGGGCGCGGCACCGCCGGGGGATTAGAGCACTCATGGCGTGCCGCTCTTTTGCTAGGTTTTCGTGATGCTGGCTCGCGACAAAAAGACGATGGGACTTTGACTTGAGCTCCGATTACGTGTGGGCGGTCATTATTGGTCGGTCGGGTGGCTGGATCCACCGGCAGCAGGGGGCGCCGAGTCTCCGAGTTTTGGAGGTACGTACCTGCATGGTCGTAGTTGTGAATGGGAGAGTCTGGCGACAATTATTTGTAAACGATTGCCGGACGTAGCGACACGGCATGGAACCTGTATTATGGATTTTACTCTTCGGAACTGCGTCCGATTAATGTGCGTAATGTGCGTCGAGGTACGGAGCACGCCTGGCTTGTTTGTACGACATTGCCAAGTCTCCAACAGCGTTACATTCCGCATCCTGTTTGGGGAAAAGTTGCTCGCTGGCTCGTACTTAAGATAATAAGCAGATTTATTAGGGGAAGGCTTCGATATACAAATCAAACCCAATCATGCCAGTGTCCGTTTAGAGCGCGCAGTCTGCCATGAAGAGCCCATGTATGAGTCGCACCTGCCATGGAAACCCATGACCATTGCGGTGACTAATCTTGGCGCCTGTTGAAGTAGGAAAAGTATACCCACATTCGAAAATCACGACATCGACGGCCATGCATTTATCAAGTTTGCCCGAACCTCAGCAAGCAATACGTCCCGAGTCCCCTTTTTCCAAACACCCCGGAACACTGCACATTGAGCAAACTGCCAAAAATGGTCCGTACAATCGCCATGACCCGTGTGCTCACGTTGCTTACCAGTAATCACGTGCAGGTCCACGCCGATGCGTCCAATTTCGCCGACGGAATCACCAAAGATGATGCATATGAGCATGTTTTAATGCAGGCCGAGGGCTTGTTCACAGACCAACGGAACTGGGTGAGATTCCTGCACGACATCTCCGCCATGTGGTCCTGCTTGACAAACAAGAGGCTTACGTGTTGAACCAGGTTTGGTAAGATGGCTTGCGTAGACGGTTCTTCATCGACGTGCAGACGACTCTGACCGGCGCAGCAATCTCGCCAACGCCGCGGCCTTGTTGTGGCACGCCTACAGATCCTTGCCTTCCCCGAGCAAGGAAGTAAACTGGGCCGGTAGGAGACCCTTCTGACGACGGGACACGTCTGAATATAGGAGAGAGGCGGCATTCGTAACTCGTGATGCAGGCTTCTACGTTCTCGACCCTTCGTCCAGGAAACCTCGGCTCATCCTCGGACCGTTTCAGGGCAAAGTCGCCTGCCAGACCATCGAGTTTGGCCGCGGAGTCTGCGGTGCCGCCGCAGCTACGCAGAAGACGCAGCTGATAGCCGACGTGGACCAGTTCCCGGGCCATATTGCCTGTGACGGCGATAGCAAAAGCGAGATTGTGGTGCCGATTCTGGCCGACACCGATGGGAGCGGGGTGAAGAAGGTGGTGGCCATTATTGACGTTGATTGTACGGTTGAGAATGGGTTTGATGATTTGGACAGGAAGTATTTAGGGGACTTGGCGGATTTGCTGGGGAAGAGTTGTGACTGGTAGGAAAGGACAGGAGAGAGAGAGAGAAAGGCCACGCACACGGCACAGCGCACCCGTTGGCAGGAGGAGTCTGATGGACAAACGCGTCGACTTGGTGATTAGTGTCTCAGGCCCGGCCGGACAAAGGGACCTCGAATGCAGAGTGCTAGTGCGGGCAGCGAGACATTGTAGCCGTGACCATGACGACGCAAACAGGCATTGGGACTTTGGCCATGGGGCATGATTCGGTTCCGGTGCAACTCGCGAAAGCAAGCATGTTTGTTGTGTTGTGTTGTGCTGAAAGAAGCCCAATTTATGAAACTTTAAAATACCAGACATGATGCTTGGCGGAGATTCGCCGTTGGCTCTCGTTGTTATTTTTACAGGGAACGTGCATCTTGAGTCTTGACACAAACAAGCTCCATGCACTAAATCAGCGAGCAGCAGGTCGTGTGATGTGATTGGTGTGTCGAGCACACAAGGTCAACCAACGTCGGGCTATGTTGTGCATAGTGCCGCGATGGCGACGTCAGCCCAACACGCCAGCCATGGAGGCGCTGCAGGGCGCAAAGAGACGCGAGTGGCGTCGGTCTCGTTTCTGATTCTTTCTTGATTTCATTTCCCAGTCTCGAGCGAGCAGCGCGTCACCTGGCCTGTACTGACGACATTACGTAATGCCTGTAGCAGCCCGTCTTTGTTCGCGTGGTTGCTGGGAGACGTCAGTATCGAACCACGTTGACGTGCACAACTCTGGATAACCTTGCATCTACTCCGTACTCCGTAGCTGCTGCGCTTAGTGCACATGTGGGGCACATGGGCCCGGGCCACGACCAGACACCTGATGACGGAGGAGCGTACTGTTCCTGGGCCGTCGTAGATTTTGGTACCGAGCAACGAGTACGAAGCGCAGCCGACCGAATGGAATTTTACGTTTTGTACGGAGTACGGAGGAAAACCAAACTTGAGAAGCTTGACAGGCTGTTTCCCACGTTTCTGCAACTCCCCGAACGGCACTTGACACCTCGATTGCTGGCCACCTACTCCGTACTTGACGGAGCACTCTGAGGCCTATGGTCGAGCCTTGAACCCAGCCACCAGCCACCTGGCACCAGCCACCTAGTTTTTGACTAGGGGTTCTCCGTCCTCTGTCGTAAGAGGCAAGTACATATTATTAGCACGGAGGGAGCACTGGGGACAGTGAACCCCCCAGCCACCAGTCGACCCACCACAGCGACGGCGCTTCCGCACTGTGCGGTCCCCGGCTCAGCCTGGTTCAACGCCGCACCCGGCTGCCCAACCACTCAGCTTCTCGCACCCTGCACCCTGCGCCCGGCTCCATGTCCCAACTCGCAGCTAGCAGCTGCAAACTGCAAACCTGCGCTCGACGAATCGCTGGCAAGCGATGCATAACAGGCCGTCTCGCGCTTCTTGCTTCTTCTCGGCGTCATCGCCTGCTGACCTCGACGCTTTTTCTTCCTCTTCTCCCCCTTCTTGCATGTCATTGTCCGCCGTCTCCTGAACGACGAGGACGTTGTTGTGACTGTTTTCTTTTGACACGAAAACCACTCCTTGGTTCGCCTCTATACTACACATACATGTTTTAAATACTCCGTATATCTTGCTCCGTTGACGGGCTCTCGCTCTCTTATCTTCACCACTCTCTTATTATATTATATATATATACCTCTAACCCGGCAGATGCCGGCGTAAACGGATCGAACCGTCACCTTCTCATCGGCTCATCATCGTCACAGGGCAGCATTGAATTCTGACCTGCCCGCTGGAACGACTCGAGCTCCCCTGCAGCGGGCGGACCTGGTCACCTCTGCGAATATGGCGACCAAGACCAAGTCGTTTGCCCTCAATGGCGCCCACACGGCAGGTATCTTTGCCGACATGTCGGTTGACGGTCCTGTAATCGGCACTCTGGTGGCCATTGTCGATAGGGCCAAGAACTTGCCCAACAGAAAGACGATTGGCAAGCAGGACCCTTACTGTGCGGCGAGGCTAGGGAAGGAGGCCAAGAAGACAACGACGGACATTCGAGGAGGCCAAACTCCCAAGTGGTATGTGCTCGCTTTCCGGGTCCTCCGAGAGCACACTTGCATCTTCCCCCTTCACCATGCTGACTTGCGAATCATGCAGGGACCAAGAGCTTCGATTTACGGTTCACGATTCGCCGGATTACTACCAGCTTAAAATATCCGTTTTTACCGATGACAAGAAGACTGACCTGGTTGGAGAGTCGTGGATTGACCTGAAGGGCATCATTGTTCCAGGAGGCGGCCAGAACGATATGTGGCAAGGCTTGACTTGCAGAGGCAAATACGCTGGCGAGATCAGAGTTGAAATCACATTCTACGATACCAGGCCAAGGCCTGAAAAACCCGTGGCCAAGCAAAGGCAGCAGACTGCCACCGAGCAAGATGCTACAGGCTCCGCGAAGCCGAGGACGCCCGTCAAGAGACGACCGTTGCCGTCGGACCCTATCACGGGAGAGGCACCCGTTACTCCCCCAGCCGCAGCCGTCCCACAGCCGGAACCCCATCAATATCAAGCTACGCCTAGGTCACACAGCAAGTCTGCCGCGCATCCTGGCTTGGTTTCCAGCCAGTCACCCCTCCAGTTTCTCGAGTACAGCACACCTCCCCACCCTCAAGGCAGCAGACAGCAGGCCGATTACCATACACCTTCACCACATGCAGCCAACCGCCCTGGTCATCGCTCTAGAGAGTTATACGGCACTCCGACACGGTACCAAGACGATCGCGGCCATCAACAACGGGCTCAGCCATCTCCTTACGACCAGTCAGATCACCGTTCCGCCCAGGGCGCTTTTTCCGAGCTCCACGAGTTGCCTGAAGAGACGGGCGCACCCCCATCTTTCGAAGACGAGGTCCCTCCACCGCCTCCGGCCCATCGATCTCGGCAAAACAGTGCCGGGCCAGAAGCTGCACATCGCAGCTCGTACGACGTTTCGCCGCAAAAGTCTCCGATGCCCATGAGAAAGGATGTCCTCAAGAGCGAGGCTCACAGACACTCGATGGCGGCATACCCCGGGCAGCCTGTATTCAAGCCCTATGACCCATCATTATCAGCACCAATTCCTGTCCCATCCCGACAGGAATCTCCTTCGTCGCGATACCAGTCACAGAGCCCCGGTTATAGCCCGCAGCACAGATCTATGCAGCCAACCGTTGAGGACGTCCCGGAGTCGCCCACGACGTCCCACTTACGAAGCCCTCGGGCAGCGATGTACCAGAGCGAAATGGCTTTTGACAGTCCTGCCGCCCAAATACCTCAAAACGTGACGGCATCTCCGGTATACACAACCAATAGGGACCACCACCAGGACTATAGTGCTTATCCTGTTTCGGTTTCACCTCTATCTATCCAGGACTCTTCGAATAATTCGTCTCAGGTGTCACACGCTTCGCACTCCAGTCACCAACCGCGAACTAGCAGGCATAGCGACTTTGATCCTGCTCACGTCCGAAACTCATCCAGCCATGGCACACCTGCGGTCCCGCCGTCTCTGTCTGCTGGAGTTGACTTGGCACTGTCACAGGAGTTTGCTGACCGGAGATACGAGGACCGAGGCTACGAGGACCGCCGGTATGAAAGCCGGTATACTCAACCAGCCGCAACCCCCCCTCGAGGCCGCCATCGAAGTGAGGGGCCGCCGTCCCACGCTGATTCGCCACACACTCACACGCCTCAGTCCCACGACGGGCGTGCCATGGTGACTTACAGCAGCCGACCTGAACCTTTGGCAACTAGGCCACGAAATTCTCCAAGCCCGAATCCCAATCCCAGTCCACGGCACAACATTCCCCGCAAATCCGTGAGCCCGGCGCCCCCGCCGTCTGAGAATAGAAGGCTGTCTGATATCCCTTTTGGGCCGGACTCGTACGACGCATTCAACCCTGGCATGGGCTCCCCTGGAGGTGCCGAGTCTTGCTTGGAGCGGAAGGACCCGAATGGCAAGATCATAACCCATGATGGACGAGAAATCGATCCCTCTGATCATCTTCCCATGGAGACGTGGGCTCCAGAGCCAGAGCCAAGGCGGAAGCAGGCATCGCCGGAACCTCCTGCCAGGACGTCACCATTAGGAGCGCAGCCGATGCCCCCGAGTGGACGAAGACCTCTTCGAATTGCTGCCCGAACAGATCAGCAGCAGCAACTGCCGCAGCCTCCCTCCTATAGCCAAGCGGCAGATCCACGTACTTGTCCAGCTAGTGGCCGTCACCGTCTTCAGAAAAAGCCTCAAGCGTCTGGTACCCGCAACAGCCTTCCCCTGGCTGCATCAAGCCCGCTGGCCCCAATCTCTCCCGATAATCATCAGGAGAGACAAGCACAGTATACGCTCACGCGCGGAGCACGCACTGGCAGCCCATATGACTATCCCAATGAGAACCATGCACCGCCACATTACGGGCCAGGACCGCCAATTCCTGCCAAGATTCCGTTACCCATAATGAGCGGTGCGAATGGCGGAGGGGAATTGGCACTAATGGAGGAGATGCAACGAATAGATATCGGCGCTGGCCGATCCAGGAGACGAGGTGGATATTGAGAGGCTGACGATGGATTTGTTTGAATATAGAGACGGGCGCTGTACAGATGTAGAAATTTTTGCATGTTGGGAGACTCTGGTGGCGTTTTTTTTTTTTTTTTAGATGCACCCAAGCACATATTAGGGTGATTGATGATTAGTGAAATAGGACTCAATGATTGCAATGATTTTGTCAAACATTTCCGTGTTCTTGCATGTCAAATGTTTGCTTGATGCATGGGTCCTGTTGGCAGTTGAAAATGGGCATTTACTGGCGCATTTGAAGCTGTTGGGACGGTTGGGACGTTGAAAAGTAACCATCCGTGGAGTACGCGCTAGTCCCATTACGGGAAGGCGGCCACGCGGGATAATACCGCCTTGACGCTGAAGCGGCAAAAAAAAAAAAAAAAAAGAGGGCTGTGCCAGCACAACACTCAACACTCAACGCTCATTCATCACGGCAACACCACGGACAATTTGCACACACGGCGACGACGGCACACAGACAGACACCCGTCACGACGAGCGGGCCAGGCGGACAACTCTCGACACATCGACGACCCGCAGCGCGACGACCATGGCAGCAGCGCAGGCGGGACCCCTCCCGCAGCTCAAGCTGGCGTCGGGCCCGTCTCCGGCGACGGCGGAGCAGCGATACTGGCGAGGCTTCAGGAACCAGCTCCTGATCCCGTCGGCGACGGGGTACCCGGTCACGAGCATCTCGTGCAGCGGCGAGTGCTTCGTGGTGACGACGGGGACGCGGGTGCAGGTGTACTCGAGCCGGACGCGGAAGCTGCTCAAGACGATGACGCGGTTCGGCGACGTGGCGAGGAGCGGGGACATGCGCAGGGACGGCAGGGTGCTCGTGGCGGGCGACGACACGGGCAAGGTGCAGGTGTTCGACGTGGGGTCGCGGGCGATTCTGAAGACGTGGACGGGGCACGGGCAGCCGGTGTGGAGGACGCGGTTCTCGCCGGCGCGGCCGACGACGGTGCTGAGCGCGAGCGACGACCGGACGGTGCGGCTGTGGGACCTGGCGGGCGCGGGGGGGGACGAGGCGGCGCGGACGTTTGCCGGGCACGGCGACTACGTGCGGTGCGCGGACTTTGTGCCCGGGGCGGCGGCGGACGTGGTGGTGTCGGGGGGCTACGACGGCGCGGTGAAGCTGTGGGACGCGCGGGCGGGGGGCGCCGCGGCCGTCATGACCTTCAGGCACGCGGCGCCGGTGGAGGAGGTGCTGCCGCTGCCGTCGGGCACGGCGGTCGTCGCGGCCGCGGGGAGCGCCGTCAGCGTCCTGGACCTGGTGGCCGGGAGGGCGCTGCGCGTCCTGGCCAACCACCAGCGGACGGTGACGTCGCTGAGCCTGGCGTCGGGCGGGCGGCGCGTGGTGACGGGCGGCCTCGAGGGCCACGTCAAGGTGTTCGAGACGACGGGGTGGAACGTGGTCAGCGGCGCCAAGTACCAGTCGCCCGTGCTGTCGCTGCGCGTCGTCCCGTCGCGCGACGGCGACCGCCACCTGGCCGTGGGCATGCAGTCGCGGGAGAGGGCGCCGACGTGGTCGTGGCCAACGAGCGCCGCGCGGCTCGGAAGGGGGAGCGCCCGTGGCACAAGGACCTCCGCCACGCTCGGTACGCTCGCGCGCTGGACCGGGTGCTCGACCGCTCCGCGCCCGGCTACACGCCCCTCGACGTGCTGGCGCTGCTGCTGGCGCTGCGGCACCGCGGCGCCGTCCGGGACGCGCTCGACAACAGGGACGAGCAGGCCGTCGAACCCGTCCTGAGGTGGGTGTGCGGACATGTCTGCGATCCCCGCTACGTCGGCGTCTGCGTCGAGGTCGGACTGCACCTGATCGACATGTATGCCGAGCACGTGGGCGCGTCGCCCGAGCTGCACGAGAGTTTTGCCCGGCTTCACAGGCGCGTCAAGAGCGAGGTCCGCAGGGCCCAGGTCGCCTGTCAGACGGGCGGCATGCTGGAGAGCTTGATGATGGGCGCCATGTAGTCTGGTTGGGCTGGAGAGTTGAGGGCGGAGGAGAGGGTCTGGTCTTTTGGCATCGGCGTCGGACATGACGCACGTCGCATTGCAGAGGCGTTGACGGAGAAGGGAAAGGGTTCTGTCTTGCTTATATCATTGGTTTCCCGTACGTGGGATGAGAGACACAATACACGTTTCTTGTTTTCCTTGACTCTGCCATCTATCCATCTTTCTTTCCTCCTTGTACTTGGGATCTGGTCATTCTACTCCTTGTCAGTAAAGAATGCCGGTTGTTGCGGCAGTTTGTCCATCCGTCTCTGCCCCTGCCTGTCCTTGCTTGTCCCGTCCCGTCTTTTCTCCCATGTTGCTGCCCGTCCAAAACAAAGGAGAGAGACATCCAGAGACCACGGCACCCTCGCCCAATGCCGCCGGACTGGCAAGCAACCTTGTTTGTACACCGCCGCCGCGCCCAGCTTGGGCAACCCAAGTTGACAACTGCCGTGCTCCGTGCTCCGTACATGGAGCAGAGGGGGCAGGCAGTACGGCTCCGTGTGGCGGGCGTGTGAGGGGACGCGCCGTGATACATTGCCCGCCGCCCCCCTTGGTTTCGTCTTGAGGGTTTCAGATTCACGTCAAGGCCTCTTGCAACGTGGTCCCAGGTCCCAGGTCCCAGGACCCGGCGCCGTGGAGATGCAGAGATGCAGTACCGCGGCTGGCTGGCCTGGCCTGGCCTCGCCTCGCCCGCAAACACATTGTCAAACATTGGCGTCCTGGAGATTATTGTGGCACCATCGCTGAAACGCAGTAGCACTATCGACTTGATCGGCCTTCGCGTCGTCGAGACTTGTCCTTGTTGCTTGTCGCCTGCAACTCGCACACGTCCAAACTAGAAGCATCCCAATACTATTTCCTCCGGGTCTATCCAAAATGTTCATCATCTCCTCCATGCGCCTATCCGCCCAGTAGTGCCTGCGTCATCCCGAAAAAAACAAGCCCCGTCTAGGTATCTCCTCCACGTCCAGCCTGGGATAAACACAAGCTATTCCTACCATACAGGGAGATGGCGGTCAATTGCAGGTAAACAATAAAGCAGCCAATAGGTTAAGCAGACTTCCCATGAGAAAAGAGAGGGAGAGTATGACGAGGTTCAAGTAAAAAGTCGCCCGCCGAGCCCAGTCTTCGCCAAAAATGCACGCCAGTGGTTGCCGTCGAGACAGAAGCGCATTGATGCAAGTTGTATAGACTTTACAAGATGAGACCAAAGAAAGCAAAAAATAAACCAAGTAGATTTTCTAGTTCCAACCAGTGCTCGACAGCAACCGCGTGCTTACCAGTCTGCTGAAAACAAGCCCATCATATCGCGTTTGTTGCATGTCTTATTCTGTCTGAGTCGTCGAATTTGCACCTTGACTTTGCGGAACCTGCTCATTCTGCAGCACGCCGCCAGAGTATATCCTTTTTGAGCCGCATCCTTACTGAGGAGTGGCACGGCAGATTAGGGGGATTTTCCTCCTGTATATCATCCCCGGGGGGAAAAGCGTCGAATCACCAGTATTGGTGGTTAAGTCGTCTTGCAGCATGGATTGTGACCAAGCGATTAAAGACTTGCAAATGAGTTCGAGTTTCTGCACCGGCACCAAGTACAACACGTCCTGGAACATTAATTAGGCGTCGTCATGGGCGGTGGCGCTGCCATCGGAAGAACTGGCGCCTGTAAGTTGGTACTGTCTGAGAAGCTTCTCGTCATCTTCACCTGGGCAGCCGAGCAAAACAAGTCTCGCTGAATGCCCTCGAGTATGTGCATGTCTGTTCTTAGAGAACCTGTGGCCGTGCTTGACTGTCTTAGAAAGTGGATGGTTTTGGAGAAAAGCGTCATGAGAAGATTTGCGTCAATCTCCGATGACAGGATCTCATCCTTGAAACACGCCGAAAGAACCAAGAGGTTTCCCCATTGACTAGAAGATGATCCGTCAGCAGCTGTACATACTGCCATGTTTTGTGAAACAATCAACTTACGCATGAGCGGTCCCAAAGACGTTTGTAATGACGGGTCGTTTCGGTCCCAAATTGTGAAAGGCCCGCGTGCTCTCGATCAACGCCTTGATACCTCGCTTCGCATACTCAATCACCGTCGGTTGAATATCCTTGTGGGACTTCACTGATGGGTCGATGACGGGTGCTGCGACGCCTCGTCGGAATTCGGACACTGCCTCGAGGTTCGGACTCGATGGATGCTTCCGGCGCTGCTCCGACCACTGCAAAATTTGTCGAATAAATGGCCGGTATGTGATGACTTGTGCGCCCCAGTATTTGGCCCGCAGCCGGGCTGCGAGGAAGTCGTCGGCCGGGGGATCGTCTTCGTGGAAGGCGTAACTCTTTGCAACCCACCGCATGCCCGACACTGCGCCGGCAACTAGCCCAACATTTTTGAACTTGAGGGCCAGATCTTTTGATTCTGCTTCCTGAGTGCTCTCAAGTGGGGAGTAGAACATGCGATGGATGCTGTTTAGGTGCGTCCGAAGGTACAATTGCGCCAAGTAACTGTCGAGAACTCTCTGGTCATACCCCCTCAGCAAGCTCATGTTTGGATGTGGCATATTTTCTTCGTACGAGAGCAATCCAGAGGGAGGAAGTCGCAGCTCTGCAATAAGATCGCTTTCCAGTTGCAAGCACGTCCAAAATGTCAAAGCCAATTGATTATGCTTCTGTTCTTGTATCATTGGCATATCCGATGTCTTGATTCGACGCAGCTTATCCAGGCTTCTAACGACCACAGTTAGTCCGACACACCCAGGCTCTGCGCGTGCTGGCCTCTGCAACAAAACTTACGGTCCCATGATGACCTGCAATTTATGGCCAGCCTGGTGAATGAATGCGAAGCTTTCCATCGGGCGGGCAAGCTGGCCGTGGTATAATCCAGCAAAAATCAAAGCGTAGACGTTCTTCATGTTCTTGTAGGCGCCCGTATAATTCCCGAGTATGTCTGTGGCAAACGCAAAATACTCCAAGCCAGGAATAGCCTCGTAGTTCTTCTTCATTCCGAGGCCACCTCTTGAGGTTCCCGTACTCCCGCCATGGATTGATGACCGCCTGCTCTGAAATCCTCGTTCCGTTTCCTTTGGGGACGCCGCTACACCTCCTGAAGAGAAAGACTGTGACGAGGTACTTGGCGGTGACACCCGGTTGGGAGACGGTGGTATTCCGTTTCTAGCGGAAGGGCTCCCATGAGGTAAAGGGTCAACCGGGAGAACGGCGTCGTAAATTCGGTCTCTGTGCAGACAAATCTTCCCCAAGGCCAAGATGCAGAGCACGAGGGCATTATGTATCGATCTTTCAGGTCTGCCAGATTTCCCAGTCGTCGGCGTTGAAAGAACTTCTGGTCCGTCGGGTTGGGGCGACCTTTTGCGCTTCGACCCCGTCATCTCCGTCGCCAGGTTGGGGGCTACGCTACCTACAGCAAAGGCGCCCTTCGAAGGCCTGTAATGTTTTGAATTAGCGCATCTCGGCGGGAGGGTTTCCAAAAAGTGCTGTACCCAATTGTTGAGTATGTCGGGTTGGATGATCGGATGCATGTCCAAAATATTCTCTTTGAAGCTCCTCACGTACGCCCAGACTTTGTCTTCTGAAAAGTCGGGATTACCATCACTGGCCAAGACACCGCCCTTGTACTCCGTCGCTTGGTCGGCAGGGCTCAATCCACCCAGGTGTCCCCATTCAGCAGCAGGGGAGGGAGATGCTCCATCAGACGACTCATCTCCCATGTCAAGCTGGCCGTAGTCGGGATTCTCCATCAACCGCCGCGAGGGATGCGCGTCTTCGCCACGACCGTATACAACAAGAATGCCGCGACTTTGTTCGTGGCTCATGGGATATTCCTTGATGTGACGAATGCCCTCAGCTTCCAAGTGTGGCTTAACAATGTCACTTATGCACGGCCACTCCAGAAGCAACCCGGCAAGTGTAGTGTGATTTATGGGAATCGCAGGCTCGCCAGGGGGCACTACTGGTCCTGGCTCTGCCTCCAATTCATCCTCAGCCATCAGTTCCAAGGGGGCACGCTCGACACGGGCGTCCAAGTCACCACGACAAGGGCCGCTATTGTAAAATTGATGCGCAGACTCGGGCTCCTCCTCGAAGGGGCTTCTCGGCAGTGTCTTGAGCTGCTCTTCTTCTGTGACAGAATCCATCTTCACAAAATTACCATTGGCATGGCCGCCAATGGAAGCTTCAAGCTTGGTCATCCGGTTGTCCATACGCCCAACTTGCGCCACCAAGCTGGCAATGCTGTGCTGGACCACGGTAATACCCTCGAGGATGTCGGCCTGGGCCTTGTCGGTCCTGTAGTTTCTGGGTCAGTGTCGTAATTGGCCGCGTCAAGTCCATGTAAAAACGTACGCTTTGGGCACCGGATCGCGGTATCGGCACTCTGTCCCTTTGTCACGGCATGTTTTGCAGGGCTTTGTTTCGTCGCACTTGGCCTTGAGCTGTCGGCACTGATCACAAGCCTACATCGTTGCCCGAGGTCAGTATGTACAACCACGTCTCGTGTTTACGAAAGCCCGGCAGGGATCATATTACCTGTGATGCTCTCGTGTTCTTCTTCTTTGAAGCGGCGGACGATGTGTATACACCGTAGAACGGCTCTGTTGCTTGAGGGTAGCTTGCATGCGACTCGAATGAGGGCTGATGAGTGGGAGTCGGCGGTGGGTAACTGGTAGGCCGATACATTCCCGGGTTGGGAGGCACCGAAGGTCCATTTTCGTAGCCCATGTGACGATGCTGGCCCTCTGGGGCGTATGCTGATGCGGGTTGATGCGGCGGCGGCGGCGGCGGTTGTTGAGGATGCGAGACTGCGCTAGCATGTGTTGAATGGGGTACAGAGTCTGGCGCATGTCCCCCAGCAGAGTTTGAGCGCCTCGGATCTTCGCCGGACTCTCGTTTTATGACGGAGTCTCTGGGAGGGTATGGATGATAGGCAGAATGAGCGGGCGATAGTGGTTGGCTTGGGTGATGAGACTGTGGTTGGGACGGATGACCAGGTTGGCGAAATTGGTCCTGCATGGGAGCAAGTGTTTCCTGATCGTGTTGTCGCCGGTCGTGATCTGGCAGAGGAGGCTGTGCATGACCATGAATAGGCACGGCAGCTGGCGGGCCGGATCCAAGTTCTGTTGCTCGTGGGGAATATTGTTGTTGGTATGTACTTGGGCCGGCAGGGTGATGATGCGAGTGAGAGACCGGAGGGGGAGAGGCAGCTTGATTATGATGAGGCCGTGGTGTTGACGAGTTGTGAGGGTGAGGAAGAGAGGTTCCAGTTGGAGAAGAAGCAGACCACGTCCCAAAGCGAGGACGTTTTCCATTTGGTCCGGGATCCATGCTTGTGCGTTCTAGGTACAGCCACGGCACAACGACATGTCAGGAACGAAGCAAATGGTAAGGCGAGCGACCAGAGAGGCCAACTTGCCATGGGCTGAGTGCGGGGGGGGGGGGGGGGGGGGGGGGGGGGGGGGCAAGCACCAAAGAAGCACCGAGGGACTTGAGAAACCAACCGATGAGGCTCGGGATCTTGATGTAGAGTCTGTCGGTTACAACTGGGTCTTCTGCATCGGAAATCAAGGAGCAGTGGTAGACATGGGGTGTGTGTACGAAGACGAGTGCGTGCTGGATGGACCAATGTACAGAGTGTGTATGTATACGTGTGGTGTGTGTGAGTCTGTGTGTCTGTATGCGTGTGTGAGCGTGTGCTCAGAGGGTGTACCGAGCTCGTGTACTCGTGCCTTACTACCTACAGGTATGATGAATGTGTGTGTGCGTGTCTGTCTTGTCGAGCTATGAGGACATCTGGATGGATGGATGGCTGGCTGGCTGGCCGAGAGAGTGAGTCGTTCCCGGTCCGCACAAGCATGCAGCCAGCTTTCGTGACGGCCACCACGGGCAATGGCGAGAAGCAAAAAGTCTCTTTGACGGAGGCCAGGAAGATACCACGGACCCTGGGCTGGCGTCGAGACGCCGCAAGGCAACTTGACAGGTCGAGTCGAGGCTCGAGTTGGACAGAAGTGGGGCCCCACCGAGGTGTGCGCGGGTTGCGTAGTCGTGGTCTGCGAGTGTGCGAGTGTGCGAGTGTGCGAGTCTGTCGTCTGCGGTCTGCAATCAACACTCTGCACTTCCTAATGTGCGTCTGGGCCTCGTCTGGGCCTCGTCTGGCTCGATGTCGGTCTCTGGGCCTGGCCGACGGTGTATTGTACTCGCGTACAGAGTACTCCGTACATACAATGATAAGAGCACGTCGCACCTGTCCCAATAGGTCCCAACCAAGGACACCGAGGACAGAGTCAGACAAGACAGACAGACCGACCACCCAGATGCGCAAACGGGCGTGCGACTCGACGTCGCCCTTCCTGTTCTGTCTGGTAGAGTTGCTTGCCCTGTCCGACTGTATCGTTGTACGTAGTTTGTTGTACGTATGTATGTATAGGACACCCACAATGAATGGACGTTGGGGCGTCAGATGCTGGACGCTGTGCGCCCCAAGATGCCCCGGCTGGGTTGGTTACTTTACCACGCTCTACCACAATCTAGCGTCCAAGACTTCCACACGCCAGACGAGCACTCCGTATAAAGGCACCAAGCGACAGGCAGTCCGTGGATTACCGACGTTTGACGTACGAGCATCCGTTGCACAACCAGACAACTGGACTGGGGACACGGGGACCAGTGTGCGGCGCCAGCAAATATGCACCTCGTCGGTCGGGTCGGGTGCAGGCAAAGGCGTGGCGAGGCCAGAGCCCAGGTATAATACCGCGTCACCAGGGCAGGCGACTGGCCGGTAAAGGTCCGAAGGTCGAGCAAGGGATCGCAAACTCCTACCAAAGACACAAGGTTATGTCAGGGACGTCCTGGCTCATCAACCAAGACGAGATGTTGGTAAGCAAGGAACGTGGTTATTCTTGCCCCCCAGAAAAGTGCGGAAGTATACAGAAGAGGAAAAGAAAAGAAAAAGAAAAAAAAAAGACGGTCGGGTAAAATATGCCAGCCTGAGAGCTGGTGGCGATGGTACAAGCTCGTCTCAATTACTCCGTACTTGGGAAACAGAAACACCAAGTCCGGAGTACGGAGGGCCATCAACTCATATCTCTTTGGCCCGCCCGCGTTTTCTCTCTCGCTTTTTCTTCCTCACTCTGTCATATTCCCTCGTCGACCCAGCGCAGGAAACAGAGCCACTCCCTCAATCGCTCGCAAGCAAGTCCCCTGGTCGTCATCCCCAGCTTGCTCCCTTTCTCTTTTCTCTCTCATCATCTTCAAGCTAGCTCCAACAGGGGTATCGTAAAGTGCTTGAAGAGCTTCAGTCAGAGCGAGGCCCATGGGGCGGGCGTGTATAGAGCGGCGTTGGTAGTGCTACTCCGTACTCCGTAGTCAAGGCCGATGAGACTGGGGTGTGGTCCGGGGGGAGGGGGTGAGGTAGCTCATGAGCAGGACTCTCAAGAGACGATGAAATGTCCACGCGACACGCCCCTCCCGGCTGATGGGCATCAGCATGCTCGCTATTGCCGAATCAGAAAAGGACTGATCTGTCAGTACCAATGGTAATACAATGTGCATTGTAATACGGAGTACAAACATGATAGAACAATATAATAAATACTTGGTGACTTTGGCGATTTTCCGCCCTGCTGGACCCGGCCAAGGCCTTGGCCTCTGCAGTCCTTCCTCGGGCCTACTTCGTTCGTCGCGTTCTCCCCATCGACAGCCTGTGCCTGGAATTCGGATATGGCGGGGGGTCAGGGGCCAGAGTAACCATCAGGCCGCCCTACAATATCACCCATCCAGGGTGGTCAATAGCATTGATGAATTCAAGTACCTCGTGGCCCTCCCGGCGGAAGTCATGCTCCATACGGAGAGGAATGTGCTCCAGGTTCCCATGTTGCCATGTTCCATCTCGTCCACGTCCCGCTTCATGTGCTGGTCCTCGTTCAGTCACGAGATGAAAAAGAAACGATGAAAAGGTGATAAAGGGGGGGCGAAGGGAAGGGAAGGGAAAAGAAAAGAAAAGAAGGATGGCAACTAGTAGCATGTGGCTGCCGAACAAACGAACTTTGGACCAGAAGTTGAGAGAGGGGCCGGCCCTCCACCAGTGTGCACTGTGCAGTGCTGGGAAAACCAATCGCACTACCAACGCCAAAGCCACGGGTAGAAGCAAGCAGCAGGCAATGACATGCGTCCAGAACACCTGCGCATGTACACAAAACACCTACTTTAGGTACTTAATCTAGGCACCTGGATAGGTCTGTACTCCGTACGGAGACACGGCACATGGGGAGTATTTAGTACTCACCTCTGCAAACACTGAAGATCGTTCCCGCCCCCTCTCTTGCCTCCCCCCTTGGCCTTTCACGCCTCCCACCCACACACACACAAGTTCCACGGGTCAATCACGTCCACGACGTCTGGAGGTTCGCGCGTCAGGAAGGGATCGTGTCTCATCGTCTGGACTCTGGAGCACCTGGGTGGATGCTTGGGGCTCTATGCAGGTTGCGAGGTAGGCACTGGCAGGCCTGTGATGGATGGGCGGTACAAATGCGCTCTGGACGCCCAAGACTGCGGCCGGCTCAGAGTCTTGGCCAAGGTCGAGAAAGCGTGAACAAAAGGAATCACTCGTTGCGTCATCTCTGCGCGAGCATTTTCCGATGCGTTCTGATCTGCGGTGTGTGTCTCGCGACTGCCGTGATTAACCCGCATTTGGGCCTCATCTGCCAGCTCTTATTTTATCCCCAGCCTTGAAAGTCGGTCTACTCCAGTCCCTGGTTGGCTCTGGCTCTGGCTTTGACAGGGAGCTAAACCTAAAAAAAAAGAGAAAAAAAAAAGGGCCCCATGCCTCATTATAAAGGCCAAGCGCGATGCAATCGGCCCCCTGCTCAGCCGCTCATCTCTCGCACGCTCCCTGGGGCCGTAGCACAAACAAATCACCGGGCTTTGCTTGCTTTGCCTGCTTCCAGCAGCACTTCAGACTTGCAAATTGAGGAGCGCAAAAACAAGACAATTTCATGGCCAACCGGTGCCTGCACGGAACAGGTCATGATGGGTCTCGCAGTACGTGCTCCGTAGCCCTCCACGAGAAGTCAGAACTCGTCAAAGGCCAGGGCATCGTCATCTCAGATCTTCAACCCTCGTCGCGCGACCATCACTCAAGTCCTGTCCCCCATTGCTTTTGTCAACCAAACACCCGGTAGCAGAGCATTTCGCCGGGCGTTCCGCATATGGCCTGCCATCCCTGATGCCCATTTGCACACTCCCTCCATCAGCGCACGCGTGCGTGGTCCCAACTAGAGCCTGGCAGTGGTGACGGCTCGACGACATCAATGTCCCTGACAAGCTGACAAGCGCCGCTTCGACAATACATACGGGAGTACGCAGTACCGAGTAGGGAGTACCGATAACGAGTATTACCTGTTACAATCGAAGCCCCTCCTCCAATGTCCTGCCGGAGAGAGTCACCACCACCACTGGGAGCAGCTAGATGCATGTGGACGGCACGTCGAATTGGCCGCGGGCCCTCAAAGACTACTCGTCATTACATCTTCCAACGTGGCACCGGCCCAAGAAGCTCGACAAAGGCAGATTGGCCCCGTCTCTGGAGGCTGGGGTTTCGCCAGCTTGTGCTTCTCAAGCGACCAGCTCGTCACGGCTCGGTCACTGCCCGACTTAGAGCTTGGTCTTATTTGTAGTTACTGTAACGGGTCCGTCTCACCGTGCCGCTTATCAGACTCCGCGCTGGATGCTGGATGCCTTGAGGCGGCACACTTTGTTGGGGGAGTCTCCCACGATGCTGATGACAGGACAGCCGCAATTATTATCAAGTGGACAGAACCTCCATCAGGGGGGTGGCAATGGCGTCGAGGTCGTGTCGAGTGGTCGAGTGGCGCCCTACGTGGCGGCGATGCAGGACGACGAGACAACGCGTGCTAGCCTAACCGCCGTCATGCCGGCCGTCGCGGTTATCCGGATAGTTACTCCATGCCCATACCGAGTATGACCCTGTAACTACCCAGGTACTCGGTATGTTTGGG